GGGGGGGGTCTGACTTTTTGTGACGCCGCGTGACGAAGGGGGGGGGTCAAAAAATTTCCAAAAGCGCGTGACGTCATTTACGGACGGCCCCTAAGTTAGTAGTACTAATACGTTAGTAGTACTACTTAGTTGTAGTAATACGAGGTTTTCGCGACCAATTTCATCCATAATACAGTTTTTGTGTTACTAGTACAGCACACCGGTAGTAGTAACTACTAATTAAATATTGATTTAAATATAACTACTAAGTGTTAAACTCAACAAAGATTCCTATTCTCGAGCCCACACACTCAACACACACGTGGGTCGGTTGGACCCTAAGAACCTCACAACAAATGGGAAGTGACGTCATCTAAAGCGCAGTCCCGCGCTCCTCTTGGCGACACCAGCGGCTGGGTCTTGACCAGCGAGACGCGCAGCACGCTCACTCGTGAGTTTAAGAATTAATATATAAAAAAAGAATCAATAAAAAAATTACCACCCTGGAACCGATGAACTTGTTGGGCGGCGGCCATCATAGGTAGGGGGCGGTGACGTCACGCCACGTACCCCCCTACCTAAGATGGCCGCAATTTTAAACGCGTTAAAACTTTCGCACCAATTAAAGCTATAAAGTTGTTGTTTTGTTTAAATGCCACCGGGTAAAGCCCACTGAGAGATTTTTATACATTTTTTTCAATAAGCGACCTAGCGATCGCTTTGTTGAGCTATCGTTTGTGGCCAGGTAGCGTTATGAAATGTTAATGCATTAGTGGGTAGGATGGGGATGGTTTATTTGTATTTCTGTGTGGTTTGAGTGATTTATTTACTCTTTAAGGTTGATTTATATACCTCCATTGTATTTTGCGCTATTAATGCATTTTTCCTCCGTTTTTTTCCCTCCACATTCACAAGCGTGCATTGAGATTGTTTAAGATTGGTAGTTTTTTATATTCTTGGTTCTTTCGGTAAAGTCACGTAGAAGGGAAACAATAAAAATATAAAACAATAAAATTCTCACGACGTTTTCGACTGCAACACAAGCAATCATCATCAGGTAATTTTGCTGCTGTAAATGTCCAAATGATGGGACACTTTTTTTCGATTCTGACCAATAAGTTCATAACTTAGTGAGGATGGTTTAGTGTTGTATTTCTGTGTTTGTCCGATTAATTTAATAACTTTCGTACGCTGCACTATTTTCGTGTTTGTGTAACCGTTCTTGTAACGTTCTTATCCAGTGCCCTTAACATCTGTGAGAGAGAGAAAAAAATAGCTTTATAGCTCATCGGATTCCTCCAGAAGTCTAAATAAATATTCAGATTCTGATGTGGATTCACAGCGGCCAAATCATCCAAACTCGCGTGGTGACTTTGGCTCTAAATGTAAGAGGGGGGGATATGAACCGTTTTAAATAAAAGTTATTTCTCCCACAGATGTCCAGTAGGGGCGTGTAAGAACGTTACATCAACAAACAATCCAAAACAAACCACGATAGGAGTTTTAAATTTAGATTTAAAGCTTTCGTGACTGCAGGGATTCATATTCTTGGTTCTTTCGGTAAAGTCACCACGTAGAAGGGAAACACATTTAAAAAAAATATATATAAAAATACAATTTTCACGACGTTTCGACTGCAACACAAGCAATCATCATCAGGTGTGAAACCCACGGCAAGAAAATTAATCCATGGGCTTTCGCGAGCAATATCATCCATGAGAGGGGTTTTTTTGGGGTGGTTAGATCACGTAAATTAATGTGTCGTTATAACCCACCACCACCCGACAAAGCTCTCCAACGAGTTATAGATACAATCGAGGCGAAATAGAAAACTGATAACTGTTAATAATAATACCAATAAGATGAAGAACTATGATAACAGCGAATAATAATTACAGAGTAATCCAATTGGACAACTAAATGTTTCTTTATATTCTTGGCTCTTTCGGTAAAGTCACGTTGAAGGGAAACAATAAAATATATATAAAACAATAAAAATTCTCACGACGTTTCGACCATAACGCAAACGGTCGTCATCAGGTGATGATGACCGTTTGCGTTATCATGACATTCAGTCATCATGACTGTGTTACAGTCGAAACGTCGTGAGAATTTTATTGTTTTATATATTTTTTTATTGTTTCCCTTCAACGTGACTTTACCAAAAGAACCAAGAATATAAATCACTGCAGTCACGAAAGCTTAAAATAAAAAAAATGTGTTTTAATGTTTTTTTTTTAATTTAGGGCCCCTTCAATAACATGCTACAGGCCCCGGCACGAGCTTCATCCGGCACTGCTCTGAATCCCGAATTGGACCGAGGAAGGGGGCTTCCACTCGCCCGGGCAGCATCTCACTGGCGCCACGTCACCGCTGTGTATTTGCAGGCTGTGTGCGTGCTGTGTGCACTAGACGTGGCCAACCGTGCTAATCGGAGGCGCGAGGGTAAGGACAACACTAAACGCAAAAAGCAGTTCTCGATAAATGAGTTTTCAATCTAAATGTAAAAGTGCATAGCTCCAGTGGCTTCCTAATATCAGAAGGAAGAGCGTTCCAGACGGCCGCGCAACTGTATCTGAAAGCATCGCGCAATGCGGTGACCGTCTTTCTTCGATGATTTGCCAAAAGCCGCTGCTGTTGCGGGGAGGACCGGAATTTGTGTGGTGGTGATTTATGCTCCTTAACAAAAACAAAAAAACCTGGACTCAAACCCTGGTTGGCTTCCCGGATGTGTAGATCGGTAGGGTCTCGTGAGCTAAAGAGCGGCATACGATAAAGTAATTTGAACACGTAGGCTTTCGTGACCAATATTATTCGTAATAAAGGGTTTTTTTTTTGGGTTAGATAGCGTAAATATAAATGTGTCGTGAAACCCACCACCAACCCGGCACAGCCAATTGGTAAACCATGTGCCAGGTTACGTCAGCACACCGGTGTGTTGGAGAGTAAACTCACAACATTTACAACAACAATAAAAATACACTTTTTATGGATAAAGTAATTGTTTGTGTATGAAGGCGTTCCCAGTTCGTGGGTGCGAACGCTCCTTCCCCGAGTATATTTAATCCACGGCTGTTGCTCGTCTTTGGCAACGTGGACCCCAAGTAATGTCTTATCGCTGTGGTATATATTCACCATCATCATCATTGGCCATGATCAGTCCACTGCTGGATGAAGGATTCCCCAAGCCACCGGCATCTCTCTCACCGTCCCGGGATCTAACATTCCACCTTGAAGCTAAACACCTCCGATTGGCACAGTTGGCTACTTGCGGTGCGAAAGAAGTTCTAAACACACATACAGGGTGCTTGAAAACATTTTTAACACTTATGGGACTATCGTTTTTAAAGGATAAAGAACGGATTATAATACACTGTAACATGATAACAAATGTGATGTTAATAGCTTCAGAGAGTCAAAGAATCTCCACTTGTTCGTCATCATTGTCAACACATGGCCGGGAATCGTCTCCAGGTGGTCTCCAGGAGCCCGGAGGCAGCACATTTCTCGTGGTAGTGTTGCAAATTCTCAGAAGTGTTATACTTTTTTGAAGCACCCCTGCACGTACAAATACGTAAGGACTGCCCATCCCGTGGCAGTGTCCAAAACGAATCGGATGAACCCACGGTTGTTACGTTCGGCCCTAAACAACAGAGCAAAAAGTCCTTTCGCTGCCGTGATGTATTGCGTGGAATGGGTACGTGGGTCACTTCGAGCTCCCAAGGTGTCCGACTTTTCCTGCCCTGCGAGGTCGGCACGTGCCGCACGCGCTAGGATGATGGGCAAACTCATCTCGCGTTAAGGGCCTTTTGCCACGCGCGCCCACAGGTGCGTAGCCGCGGCGTGAAGATCCGTCTGTTATGTTGCATCGAAGTCTTCTGAGCTTGCGTGCAATCGTTGGAAATCGCAGTTTTCTAAGACGCCTTCCGTCGTGTTTGTAATTTCTCAAGTTTTGTAAAAAAATATAAAAGTTCGATATCACGCGCGCTGAACACGTTCCTTAAAGCGGTAGTGTCGCGAAGGTGCGATGTGACGTTTACTTTCGTTAAAGAAGCTATCCTGATTTGGCGCTCGCTTGAAGAGGTTGCAAACTAAACACGCGATGAACAAAAAAATAAGAAGAGGATTTACCCCTTTCTGGCAATAAAACAGCCGTTAAAGATTCATAATAAAGGCTTTTGGGTTAGATGGCGTCAGTATAAATGTGCCGTAACCCTCCACCACCCGACAACAGCCAGTAAGGTTTGTCACGTAAGCAACGCGTGCCAATTAGTTTATGACTTCAGCCCACCGGTGTGTTGGAGAGTAAATCCACAACATTTACAATTTGAGTAGTACGACGTTTCGCCAGTCATTACATCAACCAGCGTCGGGCAATTTGGCAGAATATTCTGGAGTACTCGAATTGTAAATGTTGTGGATTTACTCTCCAACACACCGGTGTTGCTGAAGTAGTCACTCATTGGCGTTTTTTTTACATGACAACCCTTCCAGAAACCTTTATGGATAATATTGGTCACGTAAGCCTTCGTGTTAAGCCGTTAAGATGTTCAAACACTAAATAGATACCTATTGCAAGGCATCAAGTCTGCATTAACTATGCAAAACGTGCAGACAAACATGTGGCTCTGATAATAATATCAGCATTTTCTTTTGAAACTGATTGGCGTGCACCAGAGGACAGCCTACTTGATGGCCCAGTCTCACCAGTGTCAGACCAGAGGATGTCAAAAAGGCCCCGCAAGTTTCAAAGTATTAATAGCTCGGGTTAAGCAGTTATACCTATGAGACCTTTTTGGCATTATCAAGACGATGGTAAAAAAAAAGTAATAATAAGCTTTACCCTTGCTCTAGGCAATAAAACAGGAGGCGTTAAAGATGATCAAATACGGTGCTGGATAACTCGAGGCATCAGCATGCAGCAGCCGCCACCACCACCGTCGTCGTCCCCACCGCTACCGCCGCCACCACCGCCGCCACCACCGCCGTGACCCGGCTAAAAACAACACTGCGCTTTTCACTTTAAATTAGACATTTAATGCGTTGCTGCTCTGGTAAAAAAAAAAAAACACGCGTACAAAACTCCACGACGCGCATCGAAGCTATTGCTCGGATACATCCTCCACTGAGCGTCGTCACATTTTACAACGTGAGAAAGGCACGATGGGCAGAGAGGGGACGATGAGGAGGTGGTGGTGGTGGTGGGGTGAGCTCACAGCCGCTGGGTCGCGTCCGACACGTGCCGTCATGTCAAGCGTTGCACGGCAACACGTGTGGCACGCCTCGGCTGCACCAATTCGGGTCACCGTCCAAATTCCATGACGAGAAAAAAAACACGTGGACTTCCAAATTACTTCAACTGGGGGGGGGGGGGTGTGAAACCCCACACGGCCAACATCGCGCCTCCCACTGCTCCTCATGTTGGGAGACCCATGCCCACGTGGTGGGGCAGTGCTGGTGCCGCATAGATAGGGAACAGCTGCCCCCTGCAGTCCCCTTGGCTAGACTGCAGCATAGGGGCATTGGAATTGTTCAGACGAGTATTGGTGTAAAGGCACTTTGAGTTGCTAATGCATTTCAAGTGGTGGACAGATCCAACTGCTCACCATTACTCTAGGCTGGATATACAGGTTTCCCTCGCTTTGTGCGAGTTCGGTTTGTGCGATTTCGCTTGTACGCTGCTAACCTATTGCTAACCAAAATTAACTTCATGCGGTTTGAATTCTCCTACTACTACTTGAATTCTCCTACTACTACTACTACTGCCACCGCCGCACGGAGCGAGAGCACACCGCTGCATCTGACCTGGCATCACCGCGTTTCGGTTGCCAGCGGCCGCTCGGGTCACCCCTTTGCACGTGAAGCCTGCAGAGTGGATACGCACGCCCTCCGAGCGTGATCGGAGTTGAACCGGCAGGTGAAGTGTGTGTTGTAATTCCTGCTTGGCAAGGGGCTAAGGTGAGCAGGAGGTTTCTCACCCCCCTGCAGCGCTGCGGCTGAAGGCACCACACCACCGCCGCGGCACGGGGCTCGCGCTCCGTCACGCGCCCTCGGCGGTGCCTTGAGAAATACCCGCTCGCGTCCCCGTGCGGGTTTCGCGATCGGGGGACGCCGGTTCACATCCGGTTCGGGGGTCGGATGAGCCAGCGACGGGCAACCCAGACGGGGCGGTGGGCCACGTGAGCGGCCCCTCCTTCGAGGAGGCCACCGCCAGGGGCTCCACGGGACGGCAGGTTGCCCGTCGTCGTCGTTCATCATCGATTGTAACCTTTGGCGTCGCATGAAATAAGTTCGAATGCGTGGGAGGTAAACGGGAAGGTGGGGTGGGGGGGGAGGATTGCGGAATTCACGCCGCCGGCTTCGGCGCAGCCGGTCAGTTAAAACCGGGCGACCGTGTGGGCAGGAAGACGCCGGGGTTGCCGTGGTGGGGCGACGATGGGCGGTGGTGGTGGTGGTGGTGGGGCGAACGGCGACTGCTGCCAAGGTTGCCGATCGCGCGCACCCACGCAGCCCGTGCGTCGTCGCCGCGCCGCGCGGGTGGTTGACCGTACTTCACCACGCCGGTTGGTGGGAGCATTGGGGAGCACCGCGTTGGGCGATCGTTTTTTGCGAGCGCGAGCTGCGCGGCCTCCTCTTGGCGTCACTTGCGCTCCATCCCAGCGGCCAAGGCCAGGGCCAGGGATTCCACTGCCGACACAAAGACGGAGAGGCAAAGGTCCCCTTCATTTTGTCGTTCGGTCCACGGGAGGGGAGGGGGGGGGCAGGTGGTGTGGTCAGCGAGCGCCTGGCCTTCACAGCGTGTTAAGGCCATTACGGGGGATTCATTGTCTTGGTTGGTGTGCGTGTTTACGTGCGTGCGTGTTGGTGCGTGCGTGTTGGCGTGTTGGTGCGTGCGTGTTGGCGTGTTGGTGTGTGGGTGTTGGCATGTTGGTGCATGCGTGTTGGTGTGTTGGTGCGTGTTGGCGTGTTGGTGCGTGCGTGTTGGTGTTGACGTGTTGGTGCGTGCATGTTGGTGTGTGGGTGTTGGTACGCGTTGGTGCGCGTGTGTTGGTGTGTTGGTGTGTGGGTGTTGGTGCGTTGGTGTTGACGTGTTGGTGTTGACTTGTTGGTGCATGCGAGTTGGTGTGTGTGTGTTGGTGCGTGTTGGTGCGTGGGTGTTGGTGGTTGTTGGTGCGTGCGTGTTGATGTGTTCACGTGTTGTTGACGTGTTGACGTGTTGTTGGGTGCGTGTTGGTGCGTGTTGTGTGTTGTTGACGTGTTGTTGACGTGTTGACGTGTTGTTGCGTGTTGTTGACGTGTTGTTGCGTGTTGTTGCGTGTTGACGTGTTGTTGCGTGTTGACGTGTTGTTGCGTGTTGACGTGTTGTTGTGTGTTGACGTGTTGTTGCGTGTGTGTTGACGTGTTGACGTGTGTTGACGTGTTGTTGCGTGTTGGTGCGTGTTGACGTGTTGACGTGTTGTTGCGTGTTGACGTGTTGTTGCGTGCGTGTTGGTGCGTGTTGACGTGTTGACGTGTTGGTGTGTGTTGACGTGTTGTTGACGTGTTGTTGACGTGTGTGTTGACGTGTTGTTGCGTGCGTTCTCACGGTGTGGGAAGCTCCCGCGCCGCACGGCTTTGTTGAGGATCGTGACGAGGAACACGTGGCAGCTCTTCAAGTCTCCCTCCGTGCGCGCAAGCACGTCCGCACTGCTCACACACACACAGCGATAGCCTCAACAGACTGTTGGGGCAGGTGCCTTTAGCCATGAGCACCTAACGAAGGCCGGCACTGCGGAACACGAGGGGGTGGGTGGCCAACACCACGCCCGGCCGCCTTTGTCTCCCCAGTGGCGATGTTTACTGCACACTGCACCAAGGTAGTCGTGTGAGGCACCCCCACCACCCATGCACTCCGGGGGTCGGCAATCAAAGTAACAAGAGGGGCCGTTGGTTTTTTTTCTTTAGAATTTGGAATATATATTAACAAAAATAACCCCCAACTCAGGATTTCAAGAGCCGCCGATGCACGGTGGTGAATACCAGACGGTGGGTCCCTCGGTAAATGGCTGCCGCGTGCCGCCACGAGGCCGCAGGGTTGCCGACCGCTGAGCCAGGCTCACTCCAAGTCGGGCCCAACGCAAACAAAAACAAAAACGATTCAAGAGATGGGGGGAAAAAGAAAATCCACAAAAAAAATCAGCGAGCGAGGTTGGGGCGGGGGGAGCCAGCGGAGCGAGCGTCCGGGGAAAGTGAATTCCACAGCCTGGGGACACTCGCACGATGAGAGGTTCCGGTCACCCGTCGTCGTCATTGTCATCATCATCATCGTCGTCGTCATCGTCATCTTCGTCATCGTCATCGTCAAATGCGAATGTGGTCATCCAGCACACACCGTACAACGACTCAACGCCCCGACCCACAAATACGCAGGAGACGTCACAGCGATGATGATGACGACGATGACGACACAACTACTTCGCTGCTCCTGCTGACACCGTTATCTGGCTTGCCCACCCGAATGTGAAATTGTAGCCTCTGAGCTCTGCATCCACATCGAACGAACGAACGAACGCACGCAAGAGGTCATCGTCGTACAGAGCGACGTGACGCGTGGGGGGCTCGGTGGGGTTGTACTGCACGGTCGCTCGCCACCGTCACCGCTTGGACAGCGTTACGGTGCAGGAATTACCGCAGAGCCGTGGGGCCGGCTCGCCAGCGATCGGCAAACACCAGCGCCAGGTTGCACACCTTCATGATGGCCTGCTTCACGTAGCTCACCTGCAACACACACACGAAGCACTGACATTCAGCCCTGTGGGCACTTCAGGAAAGTACTAACAATGTACGTGAACACACTGTGTATGTGTCTATGTGTATACGCGCGTGTGTGTGCGTGTGTGCGCGTGTGTGTGTGCGTGCGCGTGAGTGCGTGTGTGTGCGTGTGTTGTAACTTGCAGGTGCTCGCGAACAGCACTTGCCCCAACAGTCTATTGCAGGCTATACGGTGTGTCTTTGTTATACAGGGTAGTGTAGTGGTAGGCACAAGGGGCGATGCGAGTTTGATTCCCGCTAATAGCCACCAACGCCAGTGACGATTATCTGAACCGGTCCTGGGTCCCCCCTAGGTCTACTCGGCCTCAAATGAGTACCTGGTACGGTGTGTAAACATCGCCCCTCGTGTGCAGTGTCGGCCTTCGTAAGTGCTGTCAAACAGCACCTGACCCAACAGTCTGTTAAGGCTCTATGGCCTGTCCCTGCGCTACGAGGTAGGTCAAGGGCCTTCTGCCGTGTTGCTGTGCGTCTCCTCCTGTGTAGTCCGGGCACCCGTGGCTGGCCTGCCCGCTGCTCAGATATCTGAAGCATTTCCTAGGCCCGCCGCGGGCCTTCGACGAGTCCCTGGTGCCGCGTGGAAACGTCAGCATTGGTGAGACAAAGGCGGCCAGGCGTGGTGCCGGCCACCCTCCGCCTCGTGCCGGCCTTAATAGGTGTTCGCTCAGAGCGCTTGCCCCAACGGTTAGTTAAGGCTATACGGGCTGGGTGGGCTCTCTGTCTTTGCGCATCACCCGGTCGCGCAGCAGGCAGCGGTCGTGAATGGCCGCCAGGAAGTCTCCGTGCGCCGCCAGCAGCTCGTCCAGGTCGTAGGCCCCGTTGAGCCGCGGCCCGAACTCCAGCCACGTGCTGTGCAGGATCTGAGAGAAAATTAAAGGGGGGAGGGGAAAAAAAAAGGCATTTACCCTTTCTGTTAATATAAAACGGGTGTTAAGATGTTCAAACACGAAACAGATACCCCTATTTGCTGCACACGGCATCAAGTCTGCAGGATCCGAGTACACGTCACGCGTCCGCCCACTCTTTATTTTCTGTTATGATTATTATAATTATTCCGCTAGTTTACCCAGCAAAGACCTCACGAGTCTCCAAGACTCAGGTGCTGGCCACCCAACCCCCCCCCCCACCCCCCCCCCCCCCCCCCGTTGCGTGCCGTGCCGGCCTTCATAGGTGCTACTCGCAAACAGCACTTGGGCCCAACAGTCTTATGAGGCTATACGGGGGGGATCTTTGTGTGTGTATTTTTATATTGTGTGTTGTTACTTGTTGACCCTGCCCTTACTCGGCATCTGTGATAAAGAGCTTCGGAGTGTTTGTGCTGCTGCTGCTGCTGCTACATATTTCGACACGGTAAGTAAGCCACTTCGTTGAGCTATCATTTGTGGTGGCCAGGTCGCTTCTGAAAAATAGCGATACAGCTCAGTGGACCTTAACCTGGTAAAATAAAAAAAAGTAGTTGTATAGTTAGTAAGCCTCATAGCTCACCACATTCCACCGGCCTAGATAAAGCTTCTGATTCTGTTTCGATTTAAAGCTTTCGTGACTGCAAGGATTCATCTTCTTTGGTTCTTTCGGTAAAGTCACGTAGAATGAGAATAAAATAATGAAATAAAGCAATAAAATTCTCACGGCGTTTCGGCCACAACACAAGTGGCCTTCTTCAGGTGAAAGGAACAAACCTGTCGGGACGACAGAGCCACAATCTGATTCTGTTAAAAATAAAGCTTCTGATTGTGGTGTTCACGCACGTGTCTCTGCGTGCGTGCGTGCGTGCCTGCGTCCGCATCTCCCGTCTGCGTGCATATGTCAAGCGTGCGTGCGCGACCCTACGGAGCCGCACGTTACCCGGGTGAGCACGTAGGTGTGCAGGCTGTTCACAAAGTGCATGAACTTGACGCGCAGCAGGAACATGCGATGGGCGAGCGGGCACGGTTGGCCAAGGCCTCGCCTCCTGCTGCTGCTGCTGCTGCTGCGCTCCGGCCCCTGCTGCCCGCCGGGGACCGCGTCGTTACCGTCCTGCGCGTCGTCTTCCCCGCGCGGGAACGCCGCGTCCGTGAGCGCTGCGTAAAAAAACAACAGCAGCAGCAGCAGCAGCAGCGGCGACCCGACGGGACCCTTTCGCCAGTGTCGAGATATCGACTGATTTCAGAATCACAATCATCAGAATCTTTGTTTGGTCTCGAGGAGGAATCCGATGAGCTATGAAGCTCTTTTCTTCACAGATGTCCAGCAGGGGCGGGTCAGAAAGTCACAACAGCACAAATACGGAAAAGAAAGTTTCGGAGTGATGACGTCATCTTGCTCTTCTATTTAAGATGGGAAGCAGGTGGATCAACATCACAATTCTGGCAAAATCGCCCGATGATGCTGCTGGTGGTAATTACCGGTGAAACGTCACGATACTCAAATTGTAAATGTTGTGGATTTACTCTCCAACACACAACCGGTGGGGCTGAAGCAGTAACTAATTGGCGCATTTTGTCTACGCGACAAAGGTTGGCTGTGTTGGGTGGTGGCGGGTAAACGACACATTTATACTTGCACGATCTAACCCAAAAACCTCCATCGCGAATGATATTGGCCGCGAAAGCCTACATGTCAAACAAGACAAAAACTATGAGACCTCCTCTGCCAGTAACAAGATATAGGAATAGGTTTTACCCTTTTAACTGGCACAAAAACTGACACCTTTATTCAAGGCATCATGTTTGCCTTTTGGCGTCTTCTGGTCCAACACCAATGGAGACTAGGCTCTAAGAAAAGCTGTCTCGGGTGTGGACCAATCAAATTCAAGGACAGTGCATATTATTATCAGAGTTGTCTTTTTTGTTTGCATTTTGACTGCTTGTGTTGTGGTTATTGCAAACATGATGCCTTGAATAAAGGTGTCAGTTTTTGTGCCAGTTAAAAGGGTAAAACCTATTCCTAAGACAAACTAATGAGAGGAGTGCAAAATACAGAAAACGGTAGGCAAGTCACTACATATAAATAATACAGTAAAACCTTGGATTGCGAGTAACTTGGTCTGCGAGTGTTTCGCAAGACGAGCAAAAATTTAAAATATTAATTTGATAAACGAGCGAGGCACTTGCAATACGAGCAGTGTACGTAGACGCTTTGTCTGCCGAGCGTCACGTGATCACAACTGATACACGAGTGCTTTGATACACGAGTGCTTTGGATTACAAACACGTTTCCGGAACGAATTATGCTCGCAATCCAAGGTTTTACCGTACATGTTTCGGATTAAAATTTAATGAGCGGTCTAAATGCCCCCGGATCTGATCGGGGGTTGTTTGACCGTAATTCATTACACCGGTGAAGTTGTTGGTGAGCGGGGAGCAGGGGGGGGTGGGGGGGAACACCGAGACTGGCTCCGGTATCGCTCGCCGCTGACGTTGGCCGTGGTTGGGGATGAGTAAACGGTCTCTTTAATAGTTCGATAAACCGATGCGAGTGTGCGATTCGTAGTCTCCCTTTTTGGCCAGATGTCGCCGTGTAGGTGTAATGTCATTGTTTTGTTACCATAACACTCCACCACCCGACGACAGAGCCCATTAAATCCAGTTGTCACGTGGGCACATGTGCCGATTGATTTGCACAGGCCTGCGGGCCACCCTGACCTGCTAGCCCCCCCCTGACCTGCTAGCCCCCCCCCTGACCTGCTAGTCCCCCTGACCTGCTAGCCCCCCTGGCCTGCTAGCCCCCCCCCTGACCTGCTAGTCCCCCTGACCTGCTAGCCCCCCCCCTGACCTGCTAGTCCCCCTGACCTGCTAGCCCCTCCCTGACCTGCTAGCCCCCCCTGACCTGCTAGCCCCCCCTGACCTGCTAGCCCCCCCTGACCTGCTAGTCCCCCTGACCTGCTAGCCCCTCCCTGACCTGCGAGCCCCCCCTGACCTGCTAGCCCCCCCTGGCCTGCTAGCCCCCCCCTGGCCTGCTAGTCCCCACAGCCTGCTAGCCCCCCTGACCTGCTAGCCCCCCCCTGGCCTGCTAGTCCCCACAGCCTGCTAGCCCCCCTGACCTGCTAGCCCCTCCCTGACCTGCTAGCCCCCCCTGACCTGCTAGCCCCCCCTGACCTGCTAGTCCCCCTGACCTGCTAGCCCCTCCCTGACCTGCGAGCCCCCCCTGACCTGCTAGCCCCCCCTGACCTGCTAGCCCCCCCCCCCTGACCTGCTAGCCCCCCTGGCCTGCTAGCCCCCCCTGACCTGCTAGCCCCCCCTGACCTGCTAGCCCCCCCCCTGACCTGCTAGCCCCCCCTGACCTGCTAGCCCCCCCCTGACCTGCTAGCCCCCCCTGACCTGCTAGCCCCCCCCCCTGACCTGCTAGCCCCCCTGGCCTGCTAGCCCCCCCTGACCTGCTAGCCCCCCCTGACCTGCTAGCCCCCCCCCTGACCTGCTAGCCCCCCCTGACCTGCTAGCCCCCCCCTGACCAGCTAGCCCCCCCTGACCTGCTAGCCCCCCTGACCTGCTAGCCCCTCCCTGACCTGCTAGCCCCCCCCTGACCTGCTAGTCCCCCTGACCTGCTAGCCCCCCCCTGACCTGCTAGTCCCCCTGACCTGCTAGCCCCTCCCTGACCTGCTAGCCCCCCCTGACCTGCTAGCCCCTCCCTGACCTGCTAGCCCCCCCCTAACCTGCTAGTCCCCCTGACCTGCTAGCCCCCCCCCCTGACCTGCTAGTCCCCCTGACCTGCTAGCCCCTCCCTGACCTGCTAACCCCCCTGACCTGCTAACCCCCCTGACCTGCTAGCCCCTCCCTGACCTGCTAGCCCCCCCCCCTGACCTGCTAGCCCCCCCTGACCTGCTAACCCCCCTGACCTGCTAGTCCCCCACGGCCTGCGGGCCTAAATGCAGCGGCTCCCCTGGCGCCGTACCTTGGAAGCGCAGCGTGTCGAGGCTGTGCTTCACCCACTTGATCTGCAGCAGGAGGGTGAACACCTGGCGGTAAACGGCCTCCGCTGGGGGGCTCAGCACCAGGCTGACCGGCCACGGGGCCTGCATCGCACACACGCACGCACGCACACAAAGACACCCCCCCCCCCCCGTATAGCCTAAACAGACTGTTGGGGCAAGTTCTGTTAGTGAGTAACAGCGCCTATGAAGGCCGGCACGGTACACGAGGCGGAGGGTGGCCAGCACCACGCCCGGCCGCCTTTGTCTCACCAATGCTGACGTTTCCAAGCGGCACCAGGGACTCGTCGAAGGCCCCCGGCGGGCCTAGGAAATGGTTCAGATATCTGAGCAGCGGGCAGGCCAGCCACGGGTGCCTGGACTACACAGGAGGAGACGCACAGCAACACGGCAGAAGGCCCTTGACCTACCTCGTAGTGCAGGGTCAGGCCGTAGAGCGTGTTTATTGGCTGAGGCTGACCTTCGACAGAAACCTCCTCGAGCTCCACAGTCAGCCTGCAGGAAACGGTCCACAAGAGGTTTTTTTTTTTTTCACGTTAGATCGCGTGAACATATAAACGTGTCGTTAACCCGCCACCACCCGACGCAGCCAATTAGTAAGGTTTGTCACGTCAACAGAGCGTGCCGATCAGTTACTAGTTCAGCCAACCCACCGGTTGCGCGTTGGGAGAGTAAACCCACAACATTTGCAATTTGAGTACGACGTTTCGCTGGAAACTACATCCAGCACCATCGGGCGATTTTTGGCAGAGCTGTCAGACAGAACCCGCTGGTCGGTTCATCCGTGCTGTCTCCGCGCTCGCGTGCCGTGTCGCCGGCCCGTTGGGGAGCCGCGGTGGGCAGCAGATGTTAACTACCTCGCCTGGAATGCAGGAGGCTCGTAGGTTTGATACCGACCCTGACGCCGTCTGTTGTATATTTGGAGTTTGCGTGTCTCTCTCTCCAAGTGGTTGCGTGGATTTTTTTCTCCCGGGTCCTCCCGGTTTTTCCTCTCCACGTTTAGAATCAACGTCTCGCGTTGAGTGTATCTGGCTGCTGCTATAAATGTGCACGTGATAGCCGTCATCAGTGGCCAGGTCGCCTCTGAAAAAAGAGCTTCACAGGATAGCTCAGTGGGCCTTACCTGGTCAAATAAAAACAAAGTTTCATACGTATTCTTGGTTCTTTCGGTAAAGTCACCACGTAGATGGGGAACAATAAAATAATAAAAATATAAAACAATAAAATTCTCACGACGTTTTCGACTGCAACACAAGCAATCATCATCAGGTGTGATAACCACAGCAAGAAAACCACAGCAAGAAAATGAAAACCACAGCAAGAAAATGTTCTTGCTGTGGTTTTCTTGCTGTGGTTATCATACCTGATGATGATTGCTTGTGTTGCAGTCGAAAACGTCGTGCTGTGATTACGTTGCCACAACAAATGCTCACGCGATGATAAGCCACTTCGTTCAGCTATCATTTGTGACCAGGTCGCTTCGGGGAAAAAATAACTACATAGCTCGATGGGCCTTAACCTGGTTAAAAAATATATACAGGGACTCCTCTACTTACGAACTAGTTAGGTTCCAGAGGTACTGTTCGCAAGTCGATTTGCTCATAAGTTCAACAACGACCTCTGTCGATTCCAAATACAGTAGAACATCGGAGATCGAACGCACCAGAACTCGAACAAATGGCTGTTCTAACGATATTTAGTATTCCCGAACATTATTTGCCCCGGAAACTGAACGAAATTCGGAGGCCGAACGGCAATCACGACTTGAAAGAACCTGTACACGGCTAAGACGCTGATGGCTAGCAGCGTGCATGACGCTTGCCCAGACAAAGGGGACTCCCCTTCCAAACAATAACACCACCACCTCCTCATCCTCGTCACCACCTTCCACTCAAGCCATCAACTCTCCTTACTGCAGGTAAAGTGAAGTTCAATGTTAATTTATTTAATTTATTCCATTTATTTATTAATGTATTCCATTTATTTATTGTTTCTTGTTTTTTTGTATGATTGTATGCATGTAATTGCTGTAAACTTCGTGTAAAAATGCTATATAATAAGAGATGTCTTGTGTCTGGAACCAATTAATGTAATTTACATTACTTTTTATGGGGAAAATTAATTCGGTGTTCGAATGGCCTTCAGGAACGAATGAAGTTCGATCACGAGGAATGGCTTTAAAAGTTGTATAGTATCCTGTATATGTAGATGCCACTTGGTTCTTCACGTTCTGCAGATGTAGATGCAACTGGACATACGGATAGGTTCATATCTCTGAAAGTTCGCAAGTCCAATATTCATAAGTAGTGGAGCCTTTGTACAAAATAAATAGTAATAATAAAGTAACACAAAATGAAGATTAGAAAATAAAAAAATATAGAAAATAACTTACGAAATGATAACAATAAAAACAACAATGATAAAAATAAAAACATTCAAGTTGATAATAATAAAAAAAAATACAAAAACTTAAAACAAACATCTTCTTTGGTTCTTTCGGTAAAAGTCACGTAGAATGAGAATAAAATAATAAATTGATAAAATAAAATAACACAATAATATTCTCACGACGTTTCGGCCACAACACAAGCGGCCTTCATCAGGTGAAGGGACGAGAAGGGACACAAAAGCTTTAAATCGAAACTTAAAACAAACAGTTTGGAGTTTTGGTCGAGTTTCAGGCCGAGCGCACCTGCGCGCGTGCGCGTGGTGGCGCAGGGCCTCCTGCAGCGCCGTGTTCAGGAAGGAAACGTCCCGCCAGCACTCGCGTCGCCTCGCTCGCTCGAACACCGGCGCGCAGAAATCCCGCATGGCGTCGCCGGCCTCCAGCAGGAAGAAGCTGCGCATCGCCTGCAGGCATTCCATCATCCTACGGAGGATTCGGCACCGACGGTCAATCCCCCGGTTGGAGTCCCACGCCATCATCGCCGCATCATGTGACCCCACCCCACCCCACCCCCCCCCCCCACCTTGCCAGTATGAGACAGGATCCCTTGCGAAAGGTTCCTGTTCGGTGTTTGAACATCCTAACACCACAGCTGTTTAATTGCCATGAAAGGCAAGAAAAAAGGGGAAAAAACCCTATTGTCATATTTTGGTGCTGGCAAAGGTGGTCCCACGATGGAGCTGCTCACCCCGAGCTCTCGATACTCTGATGGTGGCGTTGTCTTTGTGTCTTTGTGTTCGCCTTGTGGCGTTGTCCTCTGGTCTAACACCGTTAGAGACGAGGCTCTGAAGAAAGCCGTCTCTGGTGTGGACCAATCAGTTTCAAAGACAATGCATCATCACATACTATCAGAGTGTTTTTTGTTTGTATTCTGACCACAAGTATTGTGGTTAATGCAGGCATGATTCCTCGTAAAAGGTTTCAGTTTGGTGTTTTAACATCTTAACACAGCTGTTTTGTTGCCAGAAAAAAGGGGAAAAACCTATTATTACATTGTGAGACTGGCAAGGGAGGTCTCATGATGTAGATGCTCACCCCGAGCTCTCAATGTCCTAATAGTGGCGTTGTCTTTGTGCTGTGTGACGCCTTTTGGCGTTGTCCTCTGGTCTAACGCTTTTTGAGACGAGGCTCTAAAGAACGCTGTCTCTGGTGTGGACCAATCAGTTTCAAAGACAATGCATCATCATAAACTACCAGAGGATGTTTTTTGTTTGCATGTTCACCACAGGTACGCGTGATTAATGCAGACATTATTCCTTACAAAATGTTTCTGTTTGGTGTTTTAACATCTTGACACAACAGCTGTTTTATTGCCAGAAGGGGTGAAGCCAATCATCACCGCACAAACTCGGGGCATCCTCGCGGCGGCGGCGGCTTTTGGCTCGGCCGTCGAACGGAGACGGTGGTCACCGCATCGCGCGGCGCTTTCAGACGCGCTTTTGCGGCCGTCTGGAGCGTTCTTCCCTTCCGATATTAGGAAGCTACTGGAGCAATGCACTTTTAAATCTAGATTGACAAACTAATTTCTTTCGAACTGCTTTTTGTGTTTAGTTTTCTGTCCTTCCCCGCACCTCCGATGAGGACGGTGGGCTACCTACGGCGCGAAAGAACGTACATACATACAAGCGTGCTCTATTTAAATGGTGACTTTCACGCAAAACAGCTCTTCCCCCAACATCCTGTGAAGCCTGCATAGGGGGCCTTAGTCTTTGGACGTGTGTGTGCGTAACTGTGCGTGCTTGACTATGCGTGCGTCCGTGACTGTGCGTGTGTGACTGTGCGTGACTGTGCGTGTGTGACTGTGCGTGTGTGACTGTGCGTGACTGTGCGTGTGTGACTGTGCGTGACTGTGCGTGTGTGACTGTGCGTGACTGTGCGTGCGTAACTGTGTGTGACTGTGCGTGTGTGACTGTGCGTGTGTGACTGTGCGTGTGTGACTGTGCGTGTGTGACTGTGTGTGTGACTGTGCGTGTGTGATTGCGTGCGTGTGTGACTGTGCGTGTGTGACTGTGCGTGTCTGTGGGTGTGTGACTGTGCGTGTGTGACTGTGCGTGTCTGTGGGTGTGTGACTGTGCGTGTGTAATTGCGTGCGTGTGTGACTGTGCATGACTGTGGGTGTGTGACTGTGCGTGCGTGACCGTGCGTGCGTGACCGTGCGTGCGTGACTGTGCGTGACTGTGCGTGTGTGACTGTGTGTGACTGTGTGTGACCGTGTGTGCACGAGTTTCACACCCGTGCCGCTCCTTGAGCATGGCCATGAGCTGTCCGCACACGAGCAGGTACTGCCGCTGCACGTGCGGGTACAGGGAATCGCTGAGCATCTGTTCGAGGGGGGCGTCCCCGGCCCTCCGAGCCGTGGTGCCCGTCTCCCCCCCGGGCACCCCCATCCCAGCCCAGCCCCCCCCTCCTCCGGCGGGGTCCGGGCCCCCCTCCCCCCGCACGTCGCTCGCCAGCGACGGCGTCAGATCAAAGTACAGCCTGGGAGGAGAGATAGAGAGAGGCTTACTCATTGTTTTTTTCGGTAAAGTCACCTATGTAGGAATACCATAAAATTATATTAAAACAAATCAATCACGACGTTTCGACCGCAACACAAGCGATCTTCATCAGGTGTAAAAAAAAAAATCACGAGAGAGGCTTTATCACAATCAGAATATGTATTTATACTGGAGGAATCCGATGAGCTGTGAAGCTCTTTTGTCGCACATGTCCAGTCGGGGGGGGGGGCACGGGGTCAGAATGTTACAACAACAAACAATACAAAGACACAACAGGAGTGAAAAGTAAAGCAAAGTTTGTTGTCCTTCCCCCGCACCTCCGGTTGGCTACGCACGGTGCGAAAGAAGTTCAACGTACGTACATACGGAAGGTAAAGCAAATCACAAAAATAATATACAAGGAAGGCCCCACTGAGCTATTAGATTCTTTTTCATAAGCGACCTGGCCACAAATGATAGCTCAACGAAGTGGCTCATACCAGGTGGAAATTTACAGCGGCCCAAATAATCTAGTTACATCTAAGCAGCACGGTTCTAACGAGCGGGGGAGGGGTGGGCTAAGTGGTTGGCACACCGTTGGGAACCATCTGCAAAAAATCAAGACGATCAACAGAAGGCAAATCTTGGTTACTTAACTCGGAAACCACACGGCAGCACTTCACCCCGTCCCCCGTCCCCGCTACGGTGCAGACCGTACCAATCTGCGGCGAGTAGGGATGGTTGGCACTCGGTTGCCCCGGGCCAGACTGCCGCAGGGCGATGGCAGGGTTTGGACGACAACGCGAAGCGGCGATGTACGGCGAGTCGAGATGCCGCTGCGTTTAGGTGCGGGCCCCGCAACTGCTCGCTCACGTCCCCCGCACGACGTGCGGGCGGGCGGGCGGGCGGGCGCGTCCGCTCACTTCCTCCAGGGCTCACTCACCACGCGCCGGCAAGGCCGGCGCGTCTTCTCGAGAGGTGGGAGTACCCACGCTACACCCCACCACGCCGGAATCTGCCGATTGACCGGCTAAACCTCGACAAAGAGGGCGGGGTCCTGGGACAATCAGGACGGGCGGCAATGCCGGTGGTGAAGAGTTGCGCGCCCGACGCACCTTGAGAAGTTGTACGCCAGCAGAGGATCGTGGGTAGCGGGCTCCAGCAGATGCCTCCCGACGGCCTCCTGCACCTCGTGCAGAACGTGCCCCACCCCGCCACCGCCCCTGCCGTCCCCTCTATCCACCACCAGCGCGGCCGCGGTCTCCCCGCGGCTCGCTGAGCCGCGCCCTGTGCCGGCGTCGTTCACGGGGAGGGCGACGGCGGCCGCCGGCGGCGTCGTCGTCGTCGTCGTCGCCGGCGGCGGCACGGGGAGGCGGTGGCCGTCCCCGAGGTGCGCGAGGAGAGAACGCACGAAGAGGTCGTAGAGACTCCGGCTGCCCAGCTCTGGTGCCGGACAGAGAGAGGCGGGGGGGGGAGGGGAGGGGGAAGATCCGGACACGGGATCAACCGCACCGTCTCTGTAAGAACTTTCTCTTTTTGTTTTACCAGCCAAGGCCCCGCCGAGCTGCTGCGTGAAGGCCGTACCACCGCGGTCCGGTGCAGCGGGGACGTTGGCGGTTTGCTCTCCCTGCAGGCTCAGCAGCAGGGCGCAGGACTTCCCCACGAGCAGCAGCTTGTCCAGGATGGGGGTGAGGAAGGGAACTCCGTCTCCTGCTCCGACCGCCCCGTCTGCCGACCGGCGGCCTCCGTCCCGCGGGAAGTCACGCAGCGTGAACGCCTTCTGCCAGAAGTCCTCGTGCTCCTCACACACCTCGCGGTTTCTGCGCGAGTCGCAACAGGCGGGCGGGCGGGCGCGTCCACACACGCAGGGCGAGATGGCGACGCAGGACTGGTCAACCGTCGCGTGAACGCGCGTCGCAGCGGGTTTCCATAAACGGCGCATCGCCAACGCACGTCCGCTCTCTCGTCCTCCTTCTGCCTGTGCCCAATGCCGTTCCAGGTCCTTCTCCCTCCTTGCACCCCTCCACTTGAATCAACTTCCCTTGCACAATGAGCAACACTGCTACACATAGACCCAACACTGCCCACAGACTCAACACTGCACCATAGACCCAACACTGCCCACAGACTCAACACTGCACCATAGACCCAACACTGCCCACAGACTCAACACTGCACCATAGACCCAACACTGCCCACAGACTCAACACTACACCATAGACCCAACACTGCCCACAGACTCAACACTGCACCATAGACCCAACACTGCCCACAAACTCAACACTGCACCATAGACCCAACACTACCCACAGACCCAACACTGCCCATAGACCCAACACTGCCCACAGACTCAACACTGCACCATAGACCCAACACTGCCCACAGACCCAACACTGCCCACAGACCCAACACTGCCCACAGACTCAACACTGTCCATAGACTCAACACTGCACCATAGACTCAACACTGCCCACAGACTCAACACTGCCCCATAGACTCAACACTGCCCATAGACTCAACACTGCCCATAGACTCAACACTGCACCATAGACCCAACACTGCCCATAGACTCAGCACTGCCCATAGACTCAACACTGCCCATACTCAACACTGCACCATGGACCCAACACTGCCCACAGACTCAACACTGCACAATAGACCCAACACTGCCCACAGACTCAACACTGCACCACAGACTCAACACTGCCCATAGATTCAACACTGCCCATAGACTCAACACTGCACCATAGACCCAACACTGCCCATAGACTCAGCACTGCCCATACTCAACACTGCACCATGGACCCAACACTGCCCACAGACTCAACACTGCACCACAGACTCAACACTGCCCATAGACTCAACACTGCCCATAGACTCAACACTGCACCATAGACTCAACACTGCCCACAGACTCAACACTGCACCATAGACTCAACACTGCACCACAGACTCAACACTGCCCATAGACTCAACACTGCACCATAGACCCAACACTGCCCACAGACTCAACACTGCCCCTGTACATTAAGCAGTCCCCCTCCTTAACTTAATTCTGCTCCTCTCTTCAAGCCTCACCTCTTCTCCATCCTCTTCCCTCCCCTCGCCCTCCACCCCTCGAGCGAAGCCGCTCCATAGAAATATTAAAATTCGACAACAGGTTTTTTTTTGGGTTGGATCGCGTAAATATCTAAATGTGTCGTTAAAGCCGCCACCACCCGACACAGCCCATTAGTAAAGTTTGTCACGTAAACGGAAAGTGGCCAATTCGTGACTAGTACAGCACTAACCGGTTGTGTGTTGGAGAGTAAACCCACTATAACATTTACAATCCTAGTACGACGTTTCGCCAGTAATTACAACCGGCATCATCAGGCCGCAGACAGATTTGTGGAGCAATCTTCCTCCTTCGTTCCTTAGAACGACAGACGTGATGGCGTCACTTGTGAGCCCTTCGCTTGCTAAGGGGGATTCATGAATGCATATCAATTACAATGGGTATCCAATACCGGTTGAGTCACACGTTACGTTTACGTGACAAACCTTACCGATTGGCTGTGTCGGGTGGTGCGCGGTGTTGAACCACACGTTTATATTTACGCGATCTAACCCCAAAAAACACCTTTTCGTTATGGATGATATTGGTCGCGAAAGCCTACTACTACTGCTACGTCAGCTGAACACACAGTAGGCTTTCCCGACCGCTATCATCCACAATAGAGGTCTTTTGGGTTAGATCACGTAAATATATAAAAGTGTCGTCTATGGGGCGGGGGGCGGGGAGCGGGTCGCTCACCTCTCCAGGATGAATTCCCCCGCGGGGTCGTGGAGGTGGCCGAGGGTCACGCACTCCCCGGCCATCTCCAGGGACGGGCGGAGGGAGCTCACAAACAAAGTGAGCAGCAGCTGGGCCTGGACGCGCAGGCGCCACGCAAGCACGCACGACGCGCATCACACAGACGCCACGCATCACACAGACACGCACCACATAGACACCACACAGACACGCACCACACACACACACAGCAGCACGCTTGCAATAACTCACCCCCACTGACAGTCCAATGAAATGTCACTAATGGTCGTGATATCGTTTCAAGAACTGATGACATTTTTCTCCCGATTTTGTTCCATCTCATTACATGTAACATCGACGTGTATTTGCATGCCCCGTGTCATTGTTGTTGTTGTTGGCATGCCCCGTGTCATTGTTGTTGTTGTTACCGTGTGCGTGGCGTGTCCCGTGTTGTTGTTGTTGTTGTTACCGTGTGTGTGGCGTGTCCCGTGTTGTTGTTGTTACCGTGTGCGTGGCGTGTCCCGTGTTGTTGTTGTTGTTGTTACCGTGTGTGTGGCGTGTCCCGTGTTGTTGTTGTTACCGTGTGTGTGGCGTGTCCCGTGTTGTTGTTGTTGTTACCGTGTGCGTGACGTGTCACGTGTCATTGTTGTTGTTGTTACCGTGTGCGTGGCGTGTCCCGTGTTGTTGTTGTTGTTACCGTGTGCGTGACGTGTCACGTGTCATTGTTGTTGTTGTTACCGTGTGTGTGGTGTGTCCCGTGTCATTGTTGTTGTTGTTACCGTGTGAGTGGCGTGTCCCGTGTCCTGTGTTGTTGTTACCGTGTGTGTGGTGTGTCACGTGTTGTTGTTGTTACCGTGTGCGTGGTGTGTCACGTGTTGTTGTTGTTACCGTGTGCGTGGCGTGTCCTGTGTTGTGATGCTCCACTGCTGCACGGTGCAGCGCGTTGATGAGCCGGGCCGCGCGCACGTGAGCGGGGGGCGCGGGCCGGAGGACGGCGGCAGCGGACGACCCCCCGCTCGACCCCCCGCTCGACCCCCCGCTCGACCCCCCGCTCGACCCCCCGCTCGAGCCCCCGTGCGACGCGATGCCCTCGTCCAGCGCGCGTCTCAGCTGCAGTAGCCCGGAGCGTCGCGAGCGCAGCCCCTCGAGCAGCGAGGACAGCGTGAGCGCCGGGCCCTCTGGAACACGCGCGGACACGCCGGGGCACGCCGGTTCGCGAGGCGTGCACGCCGAGCTTCTCAGCGAGCCGCGCTCATCTAGGGGGGGGCGTGCGGGCGGGTGCACCTAGGCCGGGGTCCGAAGCGCCGCGGTGAGGCGAGCGTAACTCACCCTGCCGCGTGGCGCGCCGCTCCACGTCGGCGAGCTCTCGACGGAAGGCTCCGAGGTACTCGGCCAGGGAGAAGGCGAACGCCTGCAGCGTGCGGCACGGCGGCGCCTGCGACCCGGCGGGGCGCCAGCCGCGACGGAGCGTGGCGGGGCGCGGCGGAGATTCATACGGCACGGTCATTCGCCAACGCCTCTCACGTACGATGCAACGTCACGCGTTTTATAAATCACCTCGCGTTACCCCCTGGGACATTGCCACGTACCCACAGCAGTCCGCGTGCCCCCAGGCCGGGGAATGCCCAGGCGAGCCGTGCGTGTACACGCAGCTACGGGGGCGAGACGGCGCCGGGGCTGGGCGGGGCGCGCCACCTCGCCCGGCGCCACCGACGCACGCCAAAGTTCGCCCCCCCCCCCCCCACGGGGGTCACCGCGGGCGCCCCGCTCGCTGGCCGCCGCCGTCCTCACCTCGTCGCCGCCCGGCCGCGTCGTCTCTTCGACGAAGGCCTGGAGCCGAAGAGCCACCTCGCCGAACGCGCACACGTCGCCCAGCAGCGCTCGCAGACTCGCCTGGCACGCGCGACAAAGACAAAGACCCCCACCACCGTGCAGCCTTGACAGACTTGTCGGGGCAAGTGCTGTGAGCGAGTAGCACCCGTGAAGGCCGGCACAACCTGGATGGCCAGCACCACGCCCGGCTGCCTTTGTCTCCCTCGTGGCGATGTTTACTACACACCGCACCAGGTACTCATTTGATGCTGAGTCGACCTAGGGTGAAGGCCCAGGACCGGTTCCGTTAATCGCCACCTGGTGTCGGCCGTGAGCGGGAATCGAACTCGGGTCGCATGGTTCGTAGCACAGCGCAGCTAACCGCTACGCACATGCGCACGCGCGACAAAGATCCCCCCGACAGCCAACCGTAGGGGCAAGTGCCGTTAACGAGCGTGCGCGTAACCTAGGAAGGCCCGCCACGGCACTGGAGAGGGTGGCGTGGCTGGGCACCAAGCGGCCGGGTGGGAGCCTTCGACAGTTCGCGAGGTGCACCTAGCCTGGCGCAAGCGCCGTGGCGAAGCCACCGCGAATTGGCGGCCGTCGCTGCGCGGCTACTCAGCCGCCGACGTCGGAGTGAGCCGAGACGCACAAGAGGTGGCTCGATCGTCGGATCTCAACGGTGCCGGTGAGTCTGAGCCCAGAAGCCAAGCGGCCACCAGATTCGGTCGTTTGACAATCTCACAGCATGCAGGGTCCCGGCCAGAGGCGAGCTACGGGGCCGCGTTACCGGAGTAAGGTGCGTGACGCCGATGCCTTCGCGAACCGTCACCTTCCCGTGATGCACCTCAAACGCAAAGAGGTTCGTGGTGCCCATCAGTAGCCTGGGGGAAACACGGGACACGCCGATGTCACTCAACATCACAGGGTGATACAACGAACTCACAGCCTCAACCGTAACCTACAACAACCTACAACAAACTCACAGGCTCAAGACCAACCCACAACACCAAACCACAGCCTCAACACCAACCCACAGCCTCAACCGTAACCTACAACAACCTACAACACCAACCCACAGCCTCAACACCAACCCACAACACCAAACCACAGCCTCAACACTAACCCACAGCCTCAACGGTAACCTACAACAACCTACAACACAAACTTACAGGCTCAAGACTAACTCACAACACCAACCCACAGCCTCAACACCAACCCACAGCCTCAACACCAACCCACAGCCTCAACACCAACCTACAACACAAACTCACAGGCTTAACACCAACCTACAACACCAACCCACAGCCTCAACACCAACCTACAACACAAACTCACAGCCTCAACACCAACCTACAACACAAACTCACAGGCTCAAGACTAACTTACAACACCAACCCATAGCCTCAACACCAACCCACAGCCTCAACAGTAACCTCCAACACCAACCCACATGTACGTGTCTGTGTAGCGATGGGGGAGCGGTGGCACAACGGTTCGCGCGTGCTGAGCTACGAACCCGGCGATCCGAGTTCGATTCCCGCTCACGGCCAACAGCGGTGACGAATATCTGAACAGGTCCTGGGCCTCGCCTAGTTTGACTCAGCCTCAAATAAGTAGCCGGTACCGTGTGAAACGTCACCACTGGGGAGACAAATCTAGCCGGGCGTGGTTCTGGCCACCCACCGCCTCGTGTGCCGTGCCGGCCTTCACAGGTGCTGCTCGCTAATAGCACTTGCCCCGACAGTCCGTTAAGGCTACACGGGGGATCTATGTCTCACGAGCGAGGCAGAGTTCGGTGTTCACTCACCACAGGGTCTCCCTCACCAGCTGTGCCTCAGTGAGCACAGCACCTGCCCGGGGCACGGACAGGGCGTCCGTCTCACAGAGGAACCCTTCCCTGTCACCACACACACAGCAGAGGCATCGCGCGTGGACACACGGCGGCACCGGAGGCACGTGGGCGTGCGTACGTGTGGGGTTGTATATATCCACGCGTGTGCGGCAGATATGTCCGTGTGTGTGTGTTATGCATGGTGTGTGGGGAGCGGTAGCGTAGCGGTTAGCATACGCGCTACGAATCCGGAAATCTGGGTTCGATTCCTGCTCACGGCCAACACCGGTGACGATAATCTGAACCGGTGCGGTGCGTCAACATCGCCACTGGAGAGACAAAGGCGGCCGGGCATGGTGCTGGCCACCCACCCCCTCGTGTGCCGTGCCGGTCTTTATACGTGCTCGCGAACAGCACTTGCCCCTACAGTCTGTTAAGGCTACACGGGGGATCTTTGTCTGTGTAAGGTGTGGGGAGCGGTGACACAGTGGTTAGCGCTGCGCCGTGAACCCGGCTACCCGAGTTCCATTCCCGCCAACGGCCAACACCGGTGACGATTAACTGAACCGGTCCTGGGCCTCCCCTAGGTCGACTCAGCCTTACATGAGTAACTCGTGCAATGTGTAGACATCGCCACTACATGGAGACAAAGGTGGCCGGGCGTGGTGCTGGCCACCCACCCCCTCGTGTGCCGTGCCGGCCTTCATAGGTGCTCGCTAACAGCACTTGACCCAACAGTCTGTAAAGACTATGAGGGGCATTTTCTTGTGTGTGTTCTTGTTATTGTGGGTATGTGTGTGCACATGAGTATGTATGTACGTTTGTCTGTATGTAGTTGTACGTTACGCGGGTATGCTGTAATGCGTATGTAATAATGTGCATGTGTACGTGTGTAATATGTGTGTGTGTCTAATCTGTACTCGTATATATACTAGTACAGATATAACGAAATACACACAAGGGGGTAAGTTTTTCCCACCAGTTATGAATACCGTGTCTTTACATAACACAACAGGGTGCTGTGTTCATCACCTTACCAGGCCTTAGCCAAGTTGGAGTGGAGGTGAGCGCTACACGGGCAGTGGGGAGACGGGACAGCCCAGTATTGACGCACGAGGTGCTCACGGAGCCAGCGATAGTCACAGCTCTCTTTCTCTAAACACAAGAACACACGCCACGTGCACCACCAACGTCACCACCAACGTCACCACCAACGTCAACACCAACGTCACCACCAACGTCAACACCAACGTCGCCACCAACGTCGTCACCAACGTCACCACCAACGTCGCCACCAACGTCGCCACCAACGTCGCCACCAACGTCGCCACCAACGTCGCCACCAACGTCACCACCAATGTCGCCACCAACGTCACCACCAACGTCACCACCAACACCGCCACCAACGTCGCCACCAACGTCGTCACCAACGTCAACACCAACGTCACCAGCAACGTCATCACCACCAACGTCACCACTAACGTCGCCACCAACGTCGCCACCAACGTCATCATCATCACCATACGGGGTGCCAGGGTGACGAGATGTTGCTTGTGGGTTCGATCCCGACCCTGACGCCTGTTGTATAATTTAGTTTGCCGTCCTTCCCCCGCACCTCCAATTAGCATGGTTGGCTATGTACGGCGCGAGAGAAATTCAACATACGTACAGTTTGCAGTTTGCACGTACTTCCCATGATCGCGTGGAATTTTTTCTCCGGGTCCCCCGGCTTTTCCCTCCACGTTTAGAAACGTGCATTCAGATTGTTGAAGATTATTTTGCCTGCTCTAAATGTCCAAATGATGGTGCCACTTTGTTGAGCTTTCATTTGTGGCCAGGTCGCTTCTGAAAAATAACTGAATACCTCAGTGGGCTTTGCCCGGTAGGATGGGGGATGGTTTAGTTAAATTTGTACAGTAAAATCTTGGATTGCGAGTAACTTGGTGTGCGAGTGTTTCGCAAGACGAGCAAAATTTTTAAATAAATATTAATTTGATAAACGAGCGAGGGTCTTGCAATACGAGCAGTGTACGTAGACGCTTTGTCTGCCGAACGTCACGTGATCACAACTGATATACGAGTGCTTTGATATACGAGTGCTTTGGATTACAAACACGTTTCCGTAACGAATTATGCTCGCAATCAAAGGTTTTACCGCATGTGCTTTCGGTGATTTGTTTAACTTTCTTGAGCATTGCACTCCTGTCGATGTTTTTATCACTGTTTGTTGTTGTAACGTTCTTACCACGTGGCCCTTACTGGACATCCGGAACAAAAAGAGCTTCATAGCTCATCGGATTCCTCCAGCAGTCTAAATCGTCCGATTTGTGACTTGGTTTTTCCCAGCAACACCAGAGGAGGACCAGACTTTTCGCCGGAGATTGCGTCCAGCATGCTCAGCTGTCGCGCGACAGCGCGCGGCTCTCCCGGCCCTGCAGCTGCTCCCACCGCCCCAATCACCGCTGGCGGCTCCCACCGGACGGAGCTCTAAGGGAGCCACCTCTCTGGAGGGAGGGAGGGGATTTGGCCTACTCTTCCACGCCGATGCACGTACAGTCCCGTTCTCCGATGAACGCGGATCGGATACAACGCGATGAACGTTGTTAGTAGGGGGGAAACGCAATTGGATGCAACTCGATCGGGCAAGCGTAAGTTACGTGGCGCGCGACGCGGGAACAAGCGGTCGTGCGGCTGCCCCGGCGAGGCACTGGAATGCTGCTAGATGCTTGCAGATGCTACCCCGAGCGCCTCGGTCTTTGTTCAGCCCCGCGTAACGCATCTCACGCGCTGTCGCTTTACCCCCACATTGTATTTTTATTCGTTATACAAGGCGGTTTTTGTCCACGACGCGGCGTTCTTCAGGAGCACAACTACTACCACGTTGTAGGAGGCAAAGATCCCCCGCACGGCCTGAACAGACTGTTGGGGCGAGTGCTGTTAGCGAGCGCCTACGAATGCCGGCACGGCACACGAGGGGGTGGGTGGTCAGCCCCACGCCCGGCCGCCTTTGTTTCACCAGTGGCGATGTTTCCACACCGCTACACCAGGTACTCATCTGAGGCTGAGTCGACCTAGGGGGAGGCCCATGACCGGTTCAGACAATCTGTCACCGGTGTTGGCCGTGAGCGTGAATCGAACTCGGGTCGCCGGGTTCGTCGCGAAGCGTGGCACTAACCGCTACGCCACGGCTCACCATCGAACCGACGATACATTTAGATCCAATCAATCCGAGGCACGGTGTCCGTGCACGCGAGACGTGAACGAGGTCGGTCCCGCGTGCAGGCACGGTGAGATGGCGACGCTCATGACGACGACGATGACGATGACGATGATGATGATGCTGACGATGATGACGATGCTGATGATGCCGACGATGATGGTGCCAACGATGATGATGAGGAAGAACCTGCTGGCTTTGAGACGTCCGTGCTCTTGGGAGGACAGGGGTGCAGCACGGGACTCCGGTCAGCCTGAATCCCCGAGTCCACACGACGGAATCCTCTCTTTTCCTCATCTTCCTCCTCATTCTCGTCCTCCTCCGACCACTCCTGCAGAGACAGCAAGCGTGGCCCCGGATGTCGTTAACGCATGTGCCGCGGGATGGGAGGTGGTGGGGGCGGGGCTTAGTGACGTCACCGCAGCACCGGCCCGCGCCATGTCTGGCCACGGCTCGTGGTAGGCACCGCACTGTTGGTGGGCGTCTTGCTACTTCACGGGGCGCCATCTCGGCGTGATCCGCCAACCCTGGATCACATGGGCATGAGCCGCAGCCACGCTCAGAATAAATCCGCCACGGTGGCTGGGAGATGTTAACTACCTCACCTGGTATGCAGGAGGTCGTGGGTTCGATCCCGACCCTGACGACTGCTGCTGCTGTATATTTGGTCGCGAAAGCCTACGTGTTAAACTGTATATTTGGAGTTTGCGGTGTCAAACTCAATCCCCATGGCAGCGTGGATCTGTCTCCGTATTTAGAATCGACATCACGCGTTTTAATATTTGGCTGCCATAATTTTCCACGTGATAAGCCGCTTCGCTGAGCTATCATTTGTGGCCAGGTGGCTTCTGAAAAAAAAAGCTGCGTAGCTCAGTAGGGCCTTACTTGGTAAAACAATAATCCCAGTAAATTAATAAATAAATAAAGCTGTGTGTGTGCGTGCGTGGATGCGTGCGTGCGTGCGTACGGGCGTGTCCGGGTAGGGTCCCGCGAAGACGTCTTCCCGCAGGTAGCCCGCCCAGTCAAACGCCTCCTCCGCCGCTGGCGAAACGATCAAGGTCGAGAGGTCATTAGCCTTCTTTCCTTCCTTGCTAACTTCGCAACGTCGGAGGCCGCTGTCCCCGCGTCGTGGCGGGCACTGCAAGATCCGACCGTGTCCGTCCTGGTGCTCGCCGAGCTGCATGGGCTTCCGGTCGCCGAACGAATTCGTTATGAAGGTCGCGCTCAATACACACGCAAAACGCTTGCCACAAAATGAACCGCAACACTTCGCTGATCGCGTCAAGGCGGCACGTAAACCATCAAGGCAAACTGCGGTCGTCCTCGAAGCGGCTTGGGCGAACCCTCGCACAAAGACGGTGGTCAACCGCATCATCGTGCGTTTTCAGATGCCCTTCTGCGGCCGTCTGGAACGCTCTTTCCTTCCGATGTTAGGAAGCCACTGGAGCTATGCACTACTGAATCAACGTCATCTATATTGAAAACGACTTTCTTTAGAGCTGCATTTTGTGTTAAGTTTGTTGTCATTCCCCTGCACGTACGTAGCATGCAATCGACGCCGCTGACCTCCTGCGACCGCTATAATCGCTCCGACATCGGCACCGCCATCTGGATTAAGCTCTTCCCACTCTTACAGTCAGTCGGTGGCGTTCACTCGGAAACTTTCCGGCGGTCAGCAATGCTAGCAATCAGAATCAGAATGTTTACTTAAGACTGCAGGAGTAATCCGATGAGCTAATAAAGCAATTATTTTTCGGGGATATCAAGTAGGGGCACGGGGTAAGAACGTCACAACAACAGTTACAAAAAACACGACAGCAGTGCCAAGTACAAGAAAGGTCAACAAATCACCCAACTCACATTGCCATGAAACTAAACCACCGCCATCCTACCAGGCCAAGCCCACTGAGGCAGCTTTAGCACCGCCGCTGCACCGCCCCCCCCACCAACCCCCATCCCTCCCCCCCCCCCCCGGCGCTGATCACCGGATGCGAACTGCAACGGTGACCTCCGCTACAATCACCGCTGCCGCAAGCTGCCGCAAGCTGCACCGCACTCGCGCGCAATCGAGATCACAACATTTGTTCGTACCGGAGGAATCCGGTGAGTTATGAAGCTCTTTTTGTTTCACAGGTGGGGTCGGCCGCGTTACCTGGCGGCTGGGCGACGGGGCGCTCCGTGTACTCGGTGTTCGACGGAGAGGCCGACAAGGCAAGCAGCAGGAAGAGCACGGCGTAGTGGGCCTCCGTCTGGCACGGAGAGCACGCGGCCGACGTCATCATCGTCATCATCGTCGTCGTCGTCATCGTCGTCGTCGTCATCGTCGTCATCGTCGTGACCGTCGCCAACAACATCTGTGCGCCCCGAACTTCTTTCGCAACGTACGTAGCCGCCCGTGCTCATCGGAGATCCCTACAGGAGATCGCAACTACAAATTCGGAATCAACGGGAATCTCTCCTTCAACTGGAGGGGGGAGGGGGGGAGGCTCTCTCGCGCACACGTCCAGCCGGGGGCACGGGGTGAGCAGGTTACCGCACGAACTAAGACGATGGTAAAGCAAGTCACAACAAATGAATACAAATCAAGCACAGTCATACCTCGGCACACGACCGCTTTGGAATACGTCGAATTTGGTACACGTGGTGTTTTGACGAGAAAAAAAACGTCTTGTGATACGACGTCTTGCTTGGGATACGAGGCGCTGCTCGCTAGAACTTGTCTGGGTCGGGATGAGTCGCCGCGTCTACCCCGTTCACGACTGAGACAAAGCGCCGCTGCTCAAGTCTGCCTGTAGATCTCGTACAGTGCACGACCCTTGCTAGAACTCTCCGTGAATTTCACGTGTTTTTTGTCATTTCAATGTATGCATTTTAGTAATAAGTTATTTAATACAACCCCATGAATGTATAATATGCCATGTAAAATATCATCTCTTATACTCTGGAACGGATTATTTCCTTTCCCTTCATTTCTTATGGGAAAAATTCGTTTGGTATTCGTCATTTCCGGTATAAGTCCTCCTGCCTTGTGGAACGAATTAACGACGTATACCGAGGTACCACCGTACATTCAATTCTGCCGATTTTTCAACACTCAGTGCAAGCTGCATGATAAAACATTGCCATCGCAAATTCAATACGGCTTACGCGATTACTATTGCAACTGGGAGCCGTGTTGCCGAGATGTTGACTCCGTTGCCTGGTATGCCCTCCAATAAGCACGGTTGGCTACGTACGGTGCGAAAGAAGATCAACGTACACACATACTACCCATAGACTGACACTACCCATAGACTCAACACTGCCCATAGTCTCAACACTACCCATAGACTGACACTGCCCATAGACTGACACTGCCCATAGACTCAACACTGCCCATAGACTCAACACTACCCATAGACTCAACACTACCCATAGACTCAACACTGCCCATAGACTCAACACTACCCATAGACTCAACACTGCCCATAGACTCAACATTACCCATAGACTGACACTGCCCATAGACTGACACTACCCATAGACTGACACTACCCATAGACTCAACACTGCCCATAGACTCAACGCTGCCCATAAACTCAACACTACCCATAGACTCAACACCACCCATAGACTCAACACTGCCCATAGACTGACACTGCCCATAGACTCAACACCACCCATAGACTCAACACTGCCCATAGACTTAACACTGCCCATAGATTCAACACTACCCATAGACTCAACACTGCCCATAGACTCAACACTACCCATAGACTCAACACTGCCCATAGACTCAACACTACCCATAGACTCAACACTGCCCATAGACTCAACACTGCCCATAGACTCAACACTGCCCATAGACTAACACTGCCCATAGATTAGCAAGGCTGGCTACGTACAGTACATACGTACGTATACAGGAAGTCATAGGTGCGATCCCGACACTGACGCCTGCTGTATATTTGGAGTTTGCATGCTCTCCCTGTGGTGGCGTGGAATTTTTTGCCTCCACGTTTAGGAACAACGTCAAGTGCCTTTTTAGAATATTTGGCTGCTGCAGATTTCCACGTGACTTCGTAGAGGGTCGCTTCTGAGGAAAGAGCTTCAAAGATGCTCGGTTTACTTCTAATCGAGTTGAACCGACTCCGGCTGCGGCGAGCCGATGGGCTCACATTGTGCTCGGTGGTGAGGAGGAGTGGTGAGTTCAGGAAGCCGTGGGTGAGGCTCCGCCAGCTGCCTGCCTTCGGCCCGTCCGAATGCACCAGGAGCTTCTCGTGAATCCTGCGTGCGCACAAGCGGGGGGGGGGGGGGGGGGGGGGTGGGGGGGTGGCAGCTCACTCGTGAAGGAGGCCTCTCCCGCGCTGGACTTACAGTGAAGTGGCGTGGAGATACGTCTTATAATCCGGGGAATTATCTCTCTCTCTCTCTCCTCTCTACCCCACGTTAAAGCGGCGTGCTGAGAATGATCTTCCGGTGGGACAGTTACAGTGGCTCTTCAAAGCAATGAGGCGCACACGGTGGAAAGATGTTAACTACCTCGCCTGGTACACAAGAAGTCGTGGGTGCGATCCCGACCCTGACACCTGTTGTATATTTGCAATTTCCACGTGTGGATTTTTCTCCGGGTCCTCTGGTTTTATCCCTCCACAAGGTAGAATCAACATCACGCGTTTAGAGAATTCGCCTGCCAGAAATTTCCACGTGATAAGCCACTTCGTTGGGCTATCGTTTGTGGCCAGCTCGCGTCTGAAAAAAAAGAGCCACGTAGCTCAGTGGGCCTTACCTGGTAAAATAAAAAAAATTGTGATTAAGTTTAGTTTATAAGTGAGTTGAAAGGTCTCAGCCTGGGAACCAATGACTACGCAAACAAAATAAAGACAGAGCCACTCACATTAATTTAGCCCTGCACTTAATTTTGCTAAATGCCACGCGTCACTCACCCGTCTATTGCACGGATCACCTTGTGTCGGTCCACGTCCAGATATCGGTGAAACCTGTACAACAACAACAACAACAGTCACCACCATCGGCATACACGTGCCAAACCTTGCCGTGCGGTACTCGTTGGGTCCAGGATGGTCAAGTTGACCTAAATTATTATTTATCCACACGCGAAAGGGATCTGCACTGTTGTTGTGCTTAGTTTGTTGTCCTTACCCCGCACCTCCAATTGGCACGGTGTGCTACGTGCAGCGCGATAGAAGTTCAACAGACACACACACACGCACACCGATGATGTCACCAAGCCGCGTCCCGCCACCTCCCGTTCTATTTAGTGAGCCAAGCAGCCGAACCAATCATCGGGAGTTGATCGGTTTGATCTACGGAGAGAAGCAATTTACGAGGGAGAAAGAGATTGAGGAATAATGAAGACGGGAGGAAAATATCAAGGGGCGTCCCCGATGCTGCTGCTGTTAAAGCAGACGGAGGCCCGGGTGTGTAAATGGACCAGCGGGCTTCACAGGACCAGCCGATGAGAAGACGCGAGACGAAACCAACGTGAGGGTGGAAGGAGGCCGAGAGGAGGAGGAAAAGGGATGAGAAGCGGCGGAGGGAGACAGCGGGAGGAGAGGCGGTGGCGGGAGCTGAAGTGGGGGGTGGGGTGGGAGACATCGTGGAGTGGGGAGGTCGCGACCGCACAGGAGGAGCAGCAGCTGGGGAGGGGGTGGAGGGGGATGGGGGAGGTCACTGGCAACCAGAGACTCGCACAGAGACTCGCACAGAGACCCATAGACTCGCACAGAGACCCAGAGACTCGCACAGAGACCCAGAGCCTCGCACAGAGACCTAGAGACTCGCACAGAGACCCATAGACTCACAGAGAGACCCAGAGACTCGCACAGAGACCCATAGACTCACACAGAGACCCAGAGACTCGCGCAGAGACCCAGAGACTCGCGCAGAGACCCACAGACTCACACAGAGACCCACAGGCTCGTGTAGAAACTCACAGACTCACATTGAGACCCATAGACTCGAACAGAGACCAACAGACTCACATAGAAACCTATACTCACGCGGAGACCCATTGACTCACACAGAGTCGCACCCAATTGGGGAGGTCCTTGCCCAGCAGGTGGGGGAGTTACCGGCTAACACCCTCAATTCGATCGAGTAATCGAAGGCTTATGAGATGATCAAAACAGCGCAGCTGCACTCACCTAAAGGTGGAAGCCACAAAGCTTGTGGCCAGGGAGAAGTTGGCGGTGCCGGGCACAAGTTCCGTGACGGCCCGGACCAGCTCGCGCGCTTGGCGTTCAGCCTCCCGCCCGGCCATGGTGACTCTGTGCGCCGCCTCCCGGAGATAGGCAGGACGTCACCTGCAGCAGCAGCAGCAGCAATAGGAATACAGTCAGTAACCAGTAGTAGTAGGAATACAGTCAGTAACTAGCAGCAGTAGCAGTAAGAATACAGTCAGTAACTAGTAGCAGCAGCAGTAAGAATACAGTCAGTAACTAGTAGTAGTAACAATAGAAATACAGTCAGTAACCAGTAGCAGTAGCAATACAATCAGTAACTAGTAGCAGTAGCAGTAGGAATACAGTCAGTAACCAGTAGTAGTAGCAGTAGGAATACAGTCAGTAACTAGTAGTAGTAGAAATAGGAATACAGTCAGTAACCAGCAGTAGTAGTCATAGGAATACAGTCAGTAACCAGTAGTAGTAGCAGTAAGAATACAGTCAGTAACCAGTAGCAGTAGGAATACAGTCAGTAACCAGTAGCAGTAGGAATACAGTCAGTAACCAGTAGCAGTAGCAGTAGGAATACAGTCAGTAACCAGTAGTAGTAGCAATAGGAATACAGTCAGTAACCAGTAGCAGTAGCAATACAGTCAGTAACCAGTAGTAGTAGCAGTAGGAATACAGTCAGTAACCAGTAGTAGTAGCAGTAGGAATACAGTCAGTAACCAGCAGCAGTAGCAGTAAGAATACAGTCAGTAACCAGTAGTAGTAGCAGTAGCAATACAGTCAGTAACCAGTAGTAGTAGCAATAGGAATACAGTCAGTAACCAGTAGCAGTAGCAATACAGTCAGTAACCAGTAGTAGTAGCAGTAAGAATACAGTCAGTAACCAGTAGTAGTAGCAGTAGGAATACAGTCAGTAACCAGCAGCAGTAGCAGTAAGAATACAGTCAGTAACCAGTAGTAGTAGCAGTAGCAATACAGTCAGTAACCAGTAGTAGTAGTAATAGCAATACAGTCAGTAACCAGTAGTAGTAGCAATACAGTCAGTAACCAGTAGTAGTAGCAATACAGTCAGTAACCAGTAGTAGTAGCAATACAGTCAGTAACCAGTAGTAGTAGCAATAGGAATACAGTCAGTAACCAGTAGTAGCAGTAAGAATACAGTCAGTAACCAGCAGTAGTAGCAGTAAGAATACAGTCAGTAACCAGTAGTAGTAGCAGTAGGAATACAGTCAGTAACCAGCAGTAGTAGCAATAGGAATACAGTCAGTAACTAGCAGTAGTAGCAGTAGCAATACAGTCAGTAACTAGTAGTAGTAGCAATAGGAATGCAGTCAGTAACTAGCAGTAGTAGCAGTAGCAATACAGTCAGTAACTAGTAGTAGTAGCAATAGGAATACAGTCAGTAACCAGTAGTAGCAATAGGAATACAGTCAGTAACTAGCAGTAGTAGCAGTAGGCATACAGTCAGTAACCAGTAGTAGTAGCAATAGGAATACAGTCAGTAACCAGTAGTAGTAGCAATAGGAATACAGTCAGTAACCAGAGTAGTAGCAATATGAATACAGTCAGTAACCAGTAGTAGTAGCAGCAGCAGCACAAGCAACAGTAACGCCATCAGCAGCAGCAATATGAACACAGCAATCAGAAGCGGCAGTCACAACAACACAACAATAATGTTGTTGTGACAACAACGATGTTGTTGTGACTGACAGACACACACAGACACACACAGACACACACAAACAACAACAACCGCCATTCGCCACTAAGTGGAGGTGACAAAACCACGACGCTTGTGCCAGGCCATGTGCACCTTGAGGCCACATGAAGTGTCGAACGCCCGCTGGCAGGAGGTCACGGGGCAGACCCAAGTGCCACGGGTCGACTGACTGAGATGACTGGCTGATGCACCACCTGTGCCCCCTACTGTGCCAACCTGCTGTGCTTTAGTCCACCCGGCGCTCCGCTCGTTGTTGTGAGCGTCGCTCCTCCGCCCTCCGTTGTTGTTGGAGGGCGACTGCCTCCAACTGCCCAGTAGCATCCTTCACGAGCCTCCTCCACAGAGGCCGATCTTGACACCGCTGGTAGCATTCATCGGCAAGTCCACTCAGTTCCACGTCCTCCTGTACCACATCACTCCATCTCTTCTCTAGCCCGTGCCGCGTCCGTTTAGCCCCCTCGATCCGGCCGAACAAAAGCTGTTTCGGCATGCGGTGGCTGGGCATGCGAGCTACATGACCCAGCCAACGCAGCCTTGCCTGCCGGAGGAGCTCACCGATCGGACCTTGCCCAGATATTTCAAGGATTTGTGAGCTCCTCACACAATCCAGCCTGGTTAAACCCAGGATGGATCGTAGGCAGGCTAGCCTAAATGTTTCTAACCGGTCGAAGATGTTCCATTAGGGGGGTCCACGTTTCGCAAGCATAGAGAAGGGAGGGAATGACCATGGCCGAGAAGACCTGAAGCTTAGTGCGGAGCGACAGACCAGGTAGCTTCCATACAGCGTTATGCAACTGATGAAAAGATATTGCCGCTCGATGATTCGGAGTGAGACCTGTGCTGTTAAACTGGAGCCGGTCATAAGCACACTGCCCAGGTATGAGAAACTCTCCACTCTCTCCACAACTGCCCCATCACCGATTGGGAGTTGTGGGGGTGGAGTGTCCGTTGGTACAAAATACCCAGGGAGGTGCTTAGTTTTGGTCGGGCTGATGGTAAGGCCCCATCTCTTAGTGGCACGCTCCAGTCTCAGCAGCAGCGTCTCCAACTCCTCCTCTGAATGAGCAGCTATTACCAAATCATCGGCATACATAACATGGTTGAGCAATAGGGAGCCATCCCTTGACCGCACCTGGGCATCGATCAGCTTCCCATTATATCTGTACCAAATGAGATTCCCCCGGTACAGCTATTGAAGGCTTCACGAACTATGTGGTCAAAATAGATGTTAAATAATGTGGGAGCCAGAGGACATCCCTGTCGCATCCCAAGGTGTACAGGGAATGGCTCTGACTCCCGGCCACGTAGTTTTACTCGGGCCCGCTCACCATCATGAAGGTCCTTAATGATCGTGAGCAGAGGGTCAGGGACTCCAAAAGCATGAAGAACAACCCAGAGCCCAGGCCTACTAATGGTATCATAGGTCTTGACCAGGTCAATAAAGCAGAGATGTAGGTCTTGCTGGAATTCCCTACACCTCTGCTGTAGCAGACGGATAGAAAATATGGCATCTGTGCAGGACCGCCCTTTCCTGAAACCGCATTGGGGCTCTGCAAGCCTCTCCTCAGTGTGCCTGGCAAGGCGATGTTGAATAATCCTTGCCACGACCTTTCCCGGCACACTGAGGAGTGAGATGCTCCTGTAGTTGTTACAGTCTGTGCGGTCCCCCTTCTTAAAGAGGGGGACCACCAGGGCATCCTTCCAATCCTGCGGAACCCGTCCAGTGGTCCAGACTGTTGTTATGATGTCATATAGGGCAGTCTGTGCACAAACGCCACCCTCCCTCAGTATTTCGCTTGGGAGATCATCTCTGCCCGGTGTCTTTCCTGGTCTCAGACTCCGGATCGCCTTCAATACTTCCTCAACAGATGGCACCTCAGCCAGCCACTCACAGGGGGTGACTTCTTCCAATATTTGAGGCACCGCAGCCTCAGCAGGGTCATCCCCACTTTGTGCCACGATGTTTTCCTGGCTGAGGGATTTCCCCTCCCCCAGGACCTTACAGAAATGCTCAGCAAATCTGGAAACCTGTTCCTGGGGGTCGGAGATTGGATCACCATTTTTCCCCTAATGATGGTAAGAGGTGTGGCGCTACAGGTTACTTTTTTGATGGAGTTAAATAGAGATTTGTGATCGTGGGCCACTGAGGCAAACTCCATCTCCTCAGCAACCCGCGACCACCACCCATTCTTGCAGCACCTTAGCTCTCCGAACCTCCGAGCGAAGGCTGCGGTAAGCCTCCTCATTCTCTGACGTGGGATTCTGTAGCTGATGGCAGTGGACCTGTCGCTTTTTCTCAACTATCCTGAACACCTCCTCTGTCAACCAGGGTCTCTAGGGAGGTCTGAATCGCGTACCCAAAGCAGCCAATGCAGCTGGACGAGTCACAGTCCTAAACCTCGCCCATTTACCCTCGACATCAGGAGGAGTGGGGGACGATGCCAACCCCAGCTGCAAGCGATGATGAAATTCTCGCTTGCAACTTTCATCAGATAACTGAGACCAGGCCACTTTAGGTTGGAATGGGGTCCTGGGTGTACACCCACCACTGGAGTGGAAGAATGGCAGGCGCATCTTACAGATGACAAGTCGATGGTCAGAGGGCAGATCAGCTCCACGGTAGGTCATGGTGTCAAGGACATGGGCTCGCATCCGCTGGTCCGTCACTATGTAGTCTAGCAGATGTTCTTGCTTGGACCTGGCATGCATCCATGATGTTGTGTGGATGCACCGATGCCGGAACAGCGTGTTGGTAATTACAAGCCCATGGGCTGCACAAAAATCTAGCAGCCTCCTACCGTTGTTATTGAGCTGATCTGGCCCATGCCCTCCAATCACTCCAGACCAAGTGCCAGCATCATGACCAATTCGGGCATTGAAGTCACCCAACAAGATGACTCTATCCCGAGGGGCCACTTTAGCCAGCACCTGTGACAGGAGGTCATAGAAGGCATCTGACTCATCGGCTTTGCCTGCATCCCTCCACGGATGTTCGTCTTCGGTGGGGGCATAAGTAACCACGACCACCACTCCTCGCCTCCGGTTGATGGGAAGGCGAGCCCAAAGTAGCCTGGGGCTTACAGCTTCCCACACCACACAGACAGACACAACAACAACAACCGCCATTCGCCACTAAGTGGCTGTGACGTCACCACGACGCTTGTGCCAGGCCATGTGCACTTTGCGGCCACGTGAAGTGTCGAACGCCCGCTGGCAGGAGGTCACGGGGCAGACCCAGGTGCCACGGGTCGACTGACTGAGATGACTGGCTGATGCACCACCTGTGCCCCCTACTGTGCCAACCTGCTGTGCTTTAGCCACCCGGCGCTCCGCTCGTTGTTGTGAGCGTCGCTCCTCCGCCCTCCGTTGTTGTTGGAGGGCGACTGCCTCCAACTGCCCAGTAGCGTCCTTCACGAGCCTCCTCCACAGAGGCCGATCTTGACACCGCTGGTACCGGTAATCGCCAAATCCACTTAGCTCCAGTCCTCCTGTACCACATCACTCCATCTCTTCTCTAACCCGTGCCGCGCCCATTTAGCCCCCTCCATCCGGCCGAACAGACAGACACACACACAGACACACACAGACAGACAGACACACAGACAGACACACACAGACAGACACACACACAGACACACATAGACACACAGACAGACCCACACACAGACACACACACGCAGATACACACACAGACACACACACAGACACACACAGACAGACACACAGACAGACAGACACACACACAGACACACATAGACACACAGACAGACACACACACAGACACACACACGCAGATACACACACACAGACAGACACACACACACAGACACACACACAGGCAGACACACACACAGACACACACACAGACGCACACACACAGACACACACAAACACACACACAGACAGACACACAGACACACACAGACAGACACACAGACACACACAGACAGGCACACACACAGACACACACAGACAGACACACAGACAGACACACACAGACAGACACACACACAGACAGACACACATACAGACACACACACAGACACAGACACACACACACAGACACACAGACAGACACACAGAGATACACACAGACACACACACAGACACACACACAGAGAGGCGCTCACGGACTTATTTCAACAACAAAGTTTCAGCCTAGCGAAGTAAAAATAAAAACCGCAGCTTACAAACCACGCGGTTGGACGCTCTGGCCTGCAGCGGTGCGGCTGCACTCCGATTCCTTCCTTTTGTTGGAAACTTTTAAACACGAACACAAAACTTTCACGCGCAACTTTCACGCGCTCCACGGCTCGTGTGCCTGCAAGTTGCTAGCAACCGCCGCACTGTACATCCACTGTGCTTGGCGTCGCCGTGACGTCACGGAGACGGTTGTTCCTCGCGACGTCACCACGTATCGCGACGGCGGCGTCATCCCGCGCGTGCAACCGTCGACCGTGACGTCATCCCGCGCGTGCAACCGTCGGCCGTGACGTCATCCCGCTATCAGAACCGTCGGCCCTGACGTCATCCCGCGCGTGATCTTTCGGCCGTGCCGCGCGATGACGACACCCCTTGCGGATTTTGCTTTGTGTAAAAGCCGGGGATGTCCAGCGCGTGACGTAATGTTGTGACGTCACGCAAGCCTGACCAATGCTGTGTATAAGTGGTACTCAATGGCTACGATTAGGAATCTCCAGAATTCTGTCTCTAAAGTGGCCTCTGTGGGTGAGTGGGCGAGTAGGTAGGTGAGTGGGTAGGTTGGTTGGTAGTTAGGTGAGTGGGTGGATGAGTGGGTAAATGCGTGAGTGGGTAAATGCGTGAGTGGGTGAATTGGTGAGTGGGTGAATGGGTGAGTGTGTGGGTGAGTGGGTAGGTGAGTGGGTAGGTGAGTGGGTAGGTTGGTTGGTAGTTAGGTGAGTGGGTGGATGAGTGGGTAAATGCGTGAGTGGGTGAATTGGTCAGTGGGTGAATGGGTGAGTGTGTGGGTGAATGAGTGGGTGGTTGGGTGAGTGGGTGGTTGGGTGAGTGGGTGAATGGGTGTGTGAGTGGATGGGTGAGTGGGTGGGTAAATGGATAGGTGAGTGGGTGGGTAAATGGATAGGTGAGTGGGTGAATGTGTGAGTGGTTGGGTGAATGGGTGGGTGGGTCGGTGAATGGGTGGGTGGGTCGGTGAATGGGTGGGTGGGTCGGTGAATGGGTGGGTGGGTCGGTGAATGGGTGGGTTGGTCGGTGAATGGGTGGGTGGGTCGGTGAATGGGTGGGTGGGTCGGTGAATGGGTGGGTGGGTGGATGAATGAGTGGGTGGGTGGATGGGTGAAGGTGGGTGAATGGGTGGGTGGGTGAAGGTGGGTGAATGGGTGGGTGGGTGAAGGTGGATGAGTGGGTGGGTGGATGAATGGGTGGGTGGGTGGCCGCTGTATATTTGGAGTTTGCGCGTCTCTCCCCTTGGTCGCGTGGATTTTTCTCCGGGTCCTCCGGATTTTCCCTCCACATTTATAATCGTGCAGAGATTATTTCTGCTGCTATTAATGTCCACATGATGAGCCACTTTGTTGAGCTATCATTTGTGGCCAGGTCGCTTCTGACAAACAAGTGAATAACTTAGTGGGCTTTGCCTGGCAGGATGGGGATGGTCTAGTGTTGTATTTCTGTGTTTGGGCGATTTGTTTATCTTATATTGTACCTTGTTTGTGTAATTGTTGTTGTAACGTTCTTACTCCGTGTCCCTACTGGACATCTGTGACCAAAAAAATAACTTCATTATCTCATCGGATTCCTCCGGTGTATAGAAATATTCAGATTCCGAGTGCGGCACTGCAGCTTGAACTCGTGGAAATCTCAAAATTCACAATTCCACCTTCCGATCGTGCGAGAAACTCACGCTCGTGGGCAGCGTAAATAAACCCAAACAATACATCCCGGAAAGCTTCCGTGCCTGCAGGAATTACTCTGGTTCTTTCGGCAAGGTCACGTCGCAAATACAATCAAATAATAATGGAATACGACGTTTCGGTTGCAACACAAGCAACCATCATCAGGTAAGAATGAATGTTAAAACACAGACACGGGAACAGCAGAGGCAGACACACATGCAGAGAGAGACACACACCAAGATGTATTTGTGTCTCTCTCTCTCTCTCTGCCTATGCTGTTTCCATGTCTGTGTTCTATCATTCATTCTTACCCGATGATGATTGCTCGAGTTACAACATAAACGTCGTATTTTATTATTATTTGATTGTATTTTCTACGTGACTTTACCGAAAAAAACATAAAGTAATACATCTCACAGCACAGACCACGACGACACAGCCACCGCCACCACCACCAGCCCCCAAAGCAGTCGATGTTGTGGGACGCGTCCCGTAATTCGCTCCAGCTCAGCTACCCGAGTGGCGATGTCAAACACGCGCCGTGCCCTGGCAGCTTACAAAACATTGCAAGGGTCAGGCCACTCATAAAATATTGATCCAATTTATTGGCAGATTCCATAGACACGGGGGGTGGGTGCAGCTGGTGGGCTCTGTTAATTACAACCAACCCAGGCCCGCAAAATGTAATTGTTTACGCCTGGCAGACGGAGAAGAGAGGCAAAAATATATTTAAAAACAAAATTTAAATCCACCCCTAAAACATAAATGTAACAAGCCCAATTGCATGCTCGTACAGCCTCTCAACATGGGGGGGGGGGGGGGGGGGTGAGGCGATTGGATTATTCCATTAAGCGAAGGGGGGGGGGTTAAAAAGATTCAAGCCAACCCTCGCCTCCCAATGCACCCGATGATCAAGGACTATCGGCATGACAGTTCAGCACGACGCACGATCGACTCGAAGCTTCAGTTCCTGACGGGAAGATTACAGCGCAACGTCGCACATCCACAACGTCGGTCGGATATCCGCCCGGGGCATCCCGACAGGCCGTGCCCGCTGCTGTTGCCTGCGGATGGCGGTGTACACTGGACAGGGAGCTTGCTCACATATCCTGACCCATTTCACGTGTTCCGAGTCTGTTTAACACGTAGGCTGTCGCGACCAATATTACCCATAAGAGGGGGAGTTTGGGTTAAATATAAATTGTGTCGTTAAACCCGCCACCACCCTACGCAGCCAATGAAGGTTTGTCACGTAAAAACAGAACGTGCCAACTCGTTACTAGTACAGCCGTGGTGCCACAGCAACGGAGCAACTCCGCCGGCGCTATCCCCTCGCACCCCTCCACACCCCCACTAAACACACGCCCACGTAGGGTCTCGTGGGGGTCACCTGGTACCATGGGTTTTTACCCAAGGGGCCCTTCGTGGGGACGTCCCACGGTTTCCCAGTGCCAGGAGATTGGCCGACCCCCCCCCCTACCCCCCCAGGCCGAATTGCATTTCGGGCCCCCGTGAATTAGCTTAAAATTGTATGGGCACGACGAGCTCACCGAGCAAACGGCAGTGAGAACACGCCCAGCACAGGGAGATAGGGCCTTGGGGGCCAAACGCTCAGCGAGCAAGCACATACGAGGTGGGAGGGAAATCCCTGCGTGGTACCCGGGACGGCCACCCCGACGAAACCGGTTGAGTCCGGGAAGGGGGGGGGGGAGACGCAAACAATGGGTGAAGGCGCCGCCGGAGCGCCTTCACCCATTAAAATGTAAAGGTAGGCGCCCGATTGGCCGGCAGGGGTAACACCACGTGACCCTGGATTTTTGGATTCGGAGGAGACAAAGGGGAGGGGAAAAAACCGTCGGTCAGTTCTCCTCGGGCAGTTCAGCTATCCGCTTCGGCCTCTCAGCTGCGTGTCAAACGGAAGCCGCGTGATGTAGCCAAGGTCGGCCTCTGCAGCATCAGTGACCTATCGACAACCGACTTTCCTTGCTACACTTCCACAAGGCAGCTTGCGAGTGGCGCGCAAGCCGCACGACTCGTCGCCGTCGGCCGGCCTGGCGGGCACCGAGGAGAAGGCGGACCTGGAGGGGGCGATGATGCGTTTGGTGCGGCGGGAGCGCGCCGCCGCGTGGGGGCGACAACGGCTGCCGCCAGCGCCGGCAACGCGAGCCGCGAGGCCGCGCCGGGCGACGGCAGCGTGCGCGGCGCCGTGGGCTTCACCGTGCCGGGGTCGGTCGCGCTGTCGGTGCGCGGCCGGCCGGCCGGCCGGGACGCGGCGCCCGCGAGCGAGCCGGGCGCCGCGGGGAGCGTGTGGGATAACTCCAGGCGGTGGTGAGCCTGCCACTTGCCATGTCCCTCGGAGAGGACGCTGGTGCGGGGAGGCCAATCACCCGATCGGCGGCAGCCCGGCGAGAAGGGGCGGAGGAGGAGGGGGGAGAGGAGGAGGAGGCGTTAGCCCCCACACAGCACATCGGTTGTGCTGTACATGTTGTGACTTGGCTCTCCAACACACCGGTTGTGCTGTACTCGTAACGAATTGCCACGTTCTGTTTACGTGCTGAACCTTACTAAATTGGCTGTCGGGCGCTGGCGGGTTTAATGACACATTCATTTATTCACGCGATACAACCCAAAAAAAAACCTCTATTATGGATATCGGTCGCGAAGGCCTACGAGTTAAAACGCACACACGTACGTACGCAACTCTCATTTTCCTCAGGTGTGGTGTGCACACGTACCACCCCCTTTGGCACATGCTGTACCACTAGGGGCGAGTGATATTCCCGGCGTCAGAACACGGACTTAGAGAGTTGTATAGCCTCGCGTCCTATTCAAAGGCACCACCGGTACCTGCGTCCCGTCATTTAAAAAAAAGAGTATGGCGCTCTGGCACGTGGTAGCAGTACGGGTACCCATATTTTTTTTTTAAATAAACAGCAATTTATGTCATTGCACAGACGTGTGCGTGGGTATGTGCGTACGTGCGTGGGTACGTGTAAATATTAAGAGGCTACGGAGTAGGTCTGCGCGGTTGTCATATCGATCCACGGTGCTGGGGATATTCTTCGGGAAACCGATCGAACGAGTCTTGCGGGAGCTGAATCGCTCCTGAAGAAGCGGCTCTCGACCATGTCGACCGGAACGTCGGACAACTTTGTCGAGCGCGCGCGCACAACACCGCAAAAGCACCAGAGGAGTATCGCGCGGCATGGCTTTCCGTCATAGTCACGTGACCCCGACGTCAAAAGCCATCGAATAAAACAAGCGGCTCTTTGTCTTTCATTCAAAAAAATAAAAAAAAACCCGGTGCAAGCCGCTTCCACGAGGCCTCGACAAGGTAAGCTAAAAACAACGAGCCTACCTTTGCCCTACGTTTTACCTGACCACAACACAAATCACTCTACCCTTACCTTTGACCTTTAGCAAGCCAGGGTAAAAGGTCAAAAGCAACGAGCCTACGTTTACCCCTTACCCCATACAAATTACCCAATTACAGGGTAATTACTGGGGTACTACTACACATGAAGGTTTGTAACAGGTAAATGCTAGGAAGAGCGCTCGATTCATATAGAACACTCTCGATGATTCCAATTTTAAATGGAGGCCACGGACTGCGCCATGGAGCTTTTAGCGAGGGGTACGCAACGAGGTATTTACCGGGTAATACTTCGCGCTAGCTTTACCCTACCGGGTAATTCTCCCGCGCTACCTTTACCCAACCCTTACCCCTTGCCACGTCGACACCTTTACCCGGCAAAAAGGGCAAATGACCTAACCTTGCCGAGGCCTACCTTCGACACTTGGGTCTCACCGTGCCCCAACCAATCGAGATGAACACCTGCTCAGGGCTCGCAGACCGAAAGACTGCAGAAAATGTCACGCGGCACAGATACTTAGCGGAATACCATTTTAATAATTAAATCGAGTGATCAAATCGGGCTCCGCATGCGGCAGCCGACGTCTCAACGCAGGGCCCTCGTCCGCCGGCAGTGGACACACCGTGTGGTCGACAATGGCCGGCTCTCCACGCTTGGCACGCCGCGGGGTTTTCGGTACGACGTCGCTCTCTGCGCCGAAGCGAAGCGCCCGCAGACCGTGAAGGTGGCAGCGCCCTTTGCCCGCGGTCACGCAAGTTCACCCGCGGCCTCGATTCCTGGGCCCGCTCTCTGGATGCCGGGCCTCTGACAAAGCCGTAAGGGGCGTTGGCGTGGGGGGGTGGTGGACCGTTGCGGTTATTTGACCGGGCTTCACCGAGCCTCTCAGCGCGGTGAAGGTGGTGGGGGGATGAGAGCACAGGCGTGAGAATAATTGTCCATGACGGCAACCGCCTCGGCCGCACTCTCCTCTGCTTACATAATCCCAGTGGTCTCGTCAGCTGACGGGGGGCATAGTAGAGCACAACGATGGATTCTGGCGCATTGGAACGTGCGCGGTGGTGTACATGTGCACGGGCGAGCGAGTGAATCTGTGCCGGTGTCGCGTGCGAGTGCGTTTATCGGGCGCCTTTGACACCACACGTGGCCTCAAAGTGCACCTAGCCTGACACAACTGGTGATGTCACCGCCACTTAGCGAGACGTGACGGCTGCTGTTGCAGAACCCGTGTGTGTGTGTGTGTGCGCGCGCACGCGTCTACGTGCATACGTGCGTGCGCTGCGTGCGTACGATCGCTAGCATGCAGCGCCTGTGCGTGCGTGCGCGAGTCCCGTCACGGGGACGTCCTGTGCGTGTGTACGTGTGGCTGTGCGCACGCTGTGCGTGCACCCACGTGCGTGTCCCTGTGCGTGCTGTGACTCGTGTGCACGCACATACACACACACGCACACACGCACGCACACGCGCGGAGCCTCGGGTCTTCTTCACTCGCCCATGCCCAGCCGCCCCTTGCTGTTCTGCTCCAGACGGTTGAGCACGAACTTGCTCGTGTCGATGAATCTTCCCACGCAGTTCACGAGGCACACCTCCGTGCGGCTGTCCAGCTTGGGTCCGGGCTTGTCCATGCATTTCTCCTGCACACGCACGCACACGCGCACACACGCATACACACGCATACACACGCATACACGCGCACGCACACACGCACACACACGCACACACACGCACGCACACGCACGCGCACACACGCGCACACACGCACGCAAAGACAAAAGGTTCCCACCGCCGTATACTATTTAATTGGCAGGTAGAGACTCACCGAGGTACTTGGCTCAGAAGCGACCTGGCTATCACAAGTGACAGCTCAACGAAGTGTGGGTGTTTACAGCAGCAGCCAAATGCTCTAAATGCGTGACGTTGATCCTAAAAATGTGGAGGGAAAAACCGGAGGACCCCGAGAAAAACCACAGCGAGAGACACACGCAAACTCCAAATACACAACGGGCATCAGTCAGGATAAAACCCACGGCCTCCTGCATACCAGGGGAGGCAGCCAACATCTAATCACAAAGAGAGAGCTGCTGCTCCCTGGGTCTACCTGAGCTGTTACTCCCTGGGTCTACCTGAGCTGTTACTCCCTGGGTCTACCTGAGCTGTTACTCCCTGTGTCTACCTGAGCTGTTACTCCCTGTGTCTACCTGAGCTGTTACTCCCTGTGTCTACCTGAGCTGTTACTCCCTGGGCCTACCTGAGCTGTTACTCCCGGTGTCTACCTGAGCTGTTACTCCCTGTGTCTGTCTGAGCTGTTACTCCCTGTGTCTACCTGAGCTGTTACTCCCTGTGTCTACCTGAGCTGTTACTCCCTGTGCCTGCCTGAGCTGCTGCTCCCTGTGTCTACCTGAGCTGTTACTCCCTGTGTCTGTCTGAGCTGTTACTCCCTGTGTCTACCTGAGCTGTTACTCCCTGTGTCTACCTGAGCTGTTACTCCCTGTGTCTACCTGAGCTGCTACTCCCTGTGTCTACCTGAGCTGCTACTCCCTGTGTCTACCTGAGCTGTTACTCCCTGTGTCTGTCTGAGCTGTTACTCCCTGTGTCTACCTGAGCTGTTACTCCCTGTGTCTACCTGAGCTGCTACTCCCTGTGTCTACCTGAGCTGTTACTCCCTGTCTACCTGAGCTGCTACTCCCTGGGTCTACCTGAGCTGTTACTCCCTGTGTCTACCTGAGCTGTTACTCCCTGGGTCTACCTGAGCTGTTACTCCCTGTCTACCTGAGCTGCTACTCCCTGTGTCTACCTGAGCTGCTGCTCCCTGTGTCTACCTGAGCTGCTGCTCCCTGTGTCTACCTGAGCTGTTACTCCCTGTGTCTGTCTGAGCTGTTACTCCCTGGGTCTACCTGAGCTGTTACTCCCTGTGTCTACCTGAGCTGTTACTCCCTGTGTCTACCTGAGCTGTTACTACCTGTGTCTACCTGAGCTGTTACTCCCTAGGTCTACCTGAGCTGTTACTCCCTGTGTCTGTCTGAGCTGTTACTCCCTGAGTCTACCTGAGCTGTTACTACCTGTGTCTACCTGAGCTGTTACTCCCTGGGTCTGCCTGAGCTGTTACTCCCTGTGTCTACCTGAGCTTTTACTCCCTGGGTCTGCCTAAGCTGTTACTCCCTGTGTCTACCTGAGCTGCTGCTCCCTGGGCCTGCCTGAGCTGTTACTCCCTGGATCTACCTGAGCTGTTACTACCTGTGTCTACCTGAGCTGTTACTCCCTGGGTCTGCCTGAGCTGTTACTCCCTGTGTCTACCTGAGCTGTTACTCCCTGGGTCTGCCTGAGCTGTTACTCCCTGTGTCTACCTGAGCTGTTACTACCTGTGTCTACCTGAGCTGTTACTACCTGTGTCTACCTGAGCTGTTACTCCCTGGGTCTGCCTGAGCTGTTACTCCCTGTGTCTACCTGAGCTGTTACTCCCTGGGTCTGCCTGAGCTGTTACTCCCTGTGTCTACCTGAGCTGTTACTCCCTGGGTCTACCTGAGCTGTTACTACCTGTGTCTACCTGAGCTGTTACTCCCTGAGTCTACCTGAGCTGTTACTACCTGTGTCTACCTGAGCTGTTACTCCCTGGGTCTGCCTGAGCTGTTACTCCCTGTGTCTACCTGAGCTGTTACTCCCTGGGTCTGCCTAAGCTGTTACTCCCTGTGTCTACCTGAGCTGCTGCTCCCTGGGCCTGCCTGAGCTGTTACTCCCTGGATCTACCTGAGCTGTTACTACCTGTGTCTACCTGAGCTGTTACTCCCTGGGTCTGTCTGAGCTGTTACTGCCTGTGTCTACCTGAGCTGTTACTCCCTGGGTCTGCCTGAGCTGTTACTCCCTGTGTCTACCTGAGCTGTTACTCCCTGGGTCTAACTGAGCTGTTACTACCTGTGTCTACCTGAGCTGTTACTCCCTGGGTCTGCCTGAGCTGTTACGCCCTGTGTCTACCTGAGCTGTTACTCCCTGTGTCTGTCTGAGCTGTTACTACCTGTGTCTACCTGAGCTGTTACTCCCTGTGTCTACCTGAGCTGTTACTCCCTGTGTCTACCTGAGCTGTTACTCCCTGGGTCTGCCTGAGCAGCTGCTCCCTGGGCCTGCCTTAGCTGCTGCTGCCTGGTTTGCTCAGAAACGCTCTTCGTTATCAAGGAGCCGAAGCTTCTGCAGGAAGCCCTCGACCGTCTTGACCCACTCCCCTTCAAGTTTTTACCCTTCACCTGCTTGATCAGGTTATTGCCCTGTTCGCGAATATGCTCCTTGAGAGAAAAAAAAGAGTGACGTGTTAGGTCACATGCACGCTAGCGTAGAGAAACAGCAACGCACAAAGGTGTGCTTACAAACAGCAAGAACTTGAACGACTAGTCAACTTCGTGACCTGGAGCTGACCGCCACCAGAAACTCAAGCACACCCGGCGAGAAGCCGTACACGGTGCGGCGAGTGCGGCAAGACATTACTCGCGCTCGGCCTACCGGTACGTTTTCACTTGTGTGTTTAACTGTCGTGGGTCTTTGTTATTTTAAAGATGGCAGTTCTGCTGTGTATCCTACTGCTGTCCCTCCAGGCCATATCTAGTGCCAAACACAACTCCACCACTGGCAACCCTCGTTATTTATCGTCTGTACTTGATGCTCCATTTGCCACTACACCTGCTAGTGAAACCAGCCTATAGCCACTTCTACACTCCATCATTGTATCATTTTAAACCCCATCTCTGTCCTGTTACTTCACCAGCACTCCTTCCTAACTTCATTCTGCTCTTAAAAATGTCGCCATATGTAAGCAGCTGCTATTCGTCCAAGGTTCGCGCTGCTCTTCATCCTTTCACAGAAAATACTTGTGCAAACTATTAATTCTACTTTTCTTATTTCTGGGAGGTATTGAGCTTCACCCTGGCCCAAATGTAAATAACTAATTTAATTCTGTAGATTTTTCTGGCAAAAAAGGTGTTGGTGTTCTACACGTCAACATCAGAGGGCTTAATCTTTGGTTTTTTCGGTAAAGTCACGTAGAAATAAGAAAAAATAAAATTACATAATATACAACGTTTCGATTGCAACACAAGCAATCATCATCAGGTAGAGGAAACACATAACCGCAGATATATACAGACCTTAAGTAGAGGGAATTAACACAGATATACCAGGGGATACAGAGAGACGGAGCCTCACACTAAATCAAACAGGGTTTAGCAAAATTTGTAAACTATGTAAAGCAACACAGATGGTCAGTTAAAACACAATTAATGCATGGTCTGGTTGAATACACTATTTCAAAGATTGTTAAATTGTAAGTTGAGTGTGAAATTTAAGATAGTGATAGAATACATACCGTAGAGAGACCTATGGGGGGAGACACGCACACAGTTAAGAGGTAAAGCAGCTCTGTACCGAGGCCTTAAATAGCTAGAGATGGAGGCGCTGGGACTCATAGACAATGGGACACAAATTAGCATGACACAAGTTGTCAGGCACACAGAGAGGGCGCCGCAGCACACACTTAGAGACACCCAGGCACACAACTATAGGTAGAGACAACACAGCGACATAAACCCAATTCAAGACACAAAGGCAGATACACCAGCAGAGAACACAAAGACACAGATTTCATACCTCCCCGAAGAACAAACGTGACCCAAGGTCTTCGCTCATTTACCAGCTTCACATTCCCTATTGCCGTACAAATACAGGAAGAAGGGCCTTTGCTATTGATGCCCCCAGGGTCTGGATTGCTATCGCCAATAAACTGCAACTTGGATCACTACCTGTGAGATCTTGATTCAAATCTGCTCTAGAGGAGTTGTACAACCCTAGCTGCCACTGCTATTCAGTGGCCTGAAATCAAATGTTTCGCTCCGGATGACCGCTGCAACGTATGATCTTGGGATTTGATTATTGTGTGCCGATCTTTAAAGGTGCATTGAAAATGTTTGATACTCCTGCTGTTATGGAGTGACTCATGCTGCCAGCTATGGCTGCAAAGTTTGGTAGTAAATGTTATGTATATCGTTTATTGTTACATTTGATTCATAGTTCCTATGATCACTGTTACATTGTTTTTATCGCTTTATTTTGGCGATTTCGAAAACGTTTTGGTTGAGCCATGTTGTTGTAGTACAGAGTTAGACTGATAACTTTAATCTAAATTGTCTTATGGTTAATCTTAGTTCTTTCGGTAAAGTCACGTTATTGTTTTATATATTTTTTATTATTTTGTTGTTTCCCTTCAACGTGACTTTACCGAAAGAACTAAGAATATGAATTACTGCAGTCACGAAAGCTTTAAATCAAAAATGTCTTATGGTTGTTATTGTTTTGCACGCAGCAATTATATACGGTGCTTTTTCTGGAAGACTTTGCTGTTTTTTCCTGGATTTTTCTGCTGCGCGTAGTCACTTTAAGATGTTTCTTGTTCATGTTTTTGTTTGTTGCGGTTGCACCTGATTCAAGAGCCGAATGGCTCACAGGGCTATACCTAATAAATAAAGTGAACATAAGGTGCGAGAGAAGATTAACATACACACATACTGCCCATAGACTCAACACTACCCATAGACTCAGCACTGCCCATAGACTCAACACTACACTACCCATAGACTCAGCACTGCCCATAGACTTAGCACTGCCCATAGACTCAACACTTCCCACAGACTCACCACTGCCCATAGACTCAACACTGACCATAGACTCAACACTGCCCACAGACTCAACACTGCCCACAGACTCAACACTGTCCATAGACTCAACACTGCCCACAGACTCAACACTGCTACCCATAGACTCAACACTGCTACCCATAGACTCAACACTGCTACCCATAGACTCAACACTGCTACCCATAGACTCAACACTGCCCACAGACTCAACACTGCCTACAGAATCAACACTACCCATAGACTCAACACTGCACATAGACTAACACTGCCCATAGACTAACACTGCCCATTGACTCACCACTGCCCATAGACTCAACACTGCACACAGACTCAACACTGCCCACAGACTCAACACTGTCCATAGACTCAACACTGCCTACAAAATCAACACTACCCATAGACTCAACACTGCCCATAGACTAACACTGCCCATAGACTAACACTGCCCATAGACTAACACTGCCCATAGACTCAACACTACCCATAGACTCAACACTGCCCATAGACTAACACTGCTGCTCCGCTTAGCACGGTTGGCTACATACAGTGTGAGAGAAGTTCAACATACATTCGGAAAGGTCATTCATTCATTAGTGACCACACGTGGATGTTTACGACAGTCATTCCACGAATGAATGAGCAGTCCCTTCACAGAGATGAACGCCTTCACGGCGTTAACAAAATGCGTCTATTGACGTAACGTCAATATCACAATATTGACATAACGTCAATATCACAAGATAAACATGTTGGGGGCTTCTTTGTGCGCACGTGCCCTGGCACCGTGACCTTGTGACCTTGCACGCCCCACTTGCTGGCAACGGCGGCTCTGCGTCTAGCCGCGAACGAGTGACTGGGTGAGCGAATAGGGCGAGTGAATGAGTGAATAGGGCGAGTGAATGAGTGAATAGGGCGAGTGAATGAGTGAACGAATAGGGCGAGTGAATGAGTGAATAGGGCGAGTGAATGAGTGAACGAATAGGGCGAGTGAATGAATAGGGCGAGTGAATGAATAGGGCGAGTGAATGAGTGAATGAGTGATTGAATCAGGGAGGCTCACCCAGCACATGTCCTTCACGCTGTGGACCACTTGCTGGAAGCGCTGTCGCTGCGTCTCGAGTGAATGACTAAGTGAATGACTAAGTGAATGAGTGAATGACCAAGTGAATGACTAAGTGAATGAGTGAATTACTAAGTGAATGACTAAGTGAATGAATCTCACCCAGCACATGTCCGTCACGCTGTGCACCACTTGCTGGAAGCGCTGCCGCTGCGTCTCGAGTGAATGACTAAGTGAATGACTAAGTGAATGAGTGAATGACCGAGTGAATGACCGAGTGAATGAATCTCACCCAGCACATGTCCGTCACGCTGTGCACCACTTGCTGGAAGCGCTGCCGCTGCGTCTCGAGTGAATGACCGAGTGAATGACTGAGTGAATGAGTGAATGACTGAGTGAATGACTAAGTGAATGAGTGAATGACTGAGTGAATGACTGAGTGAATGAATCTCACCCAGCACATGTCCGTCACGCTGTGCACCACTTGCTGGAAGCGCTGCCGCTGCGTCTCGAGTGAATGACTAAGTGAATGAGTGAATGACTAAGTGAATGACTAAGTGAATGAGTGAATAACTAAGTGAATGAGTGAATGACTAAGTGAATGAGTAAATGACTAAGTGAATGACTAAATGAATGAGTGAATGACTAAGTGAATGAGTGAATGACTGAGTGAATGACTGAGTGAATGAATCTCACCCAGCACATGTCCGTCACGCTGTGCACCACTTGCTGGAAGCGCTGTCTCTGCGTCTCGCTCTCGATAAAACGCTGCAGCTCGGGGTCAGCCTGAGGAGTTCCCTCTACCATCGTGTCGATCCTTTAGACGCAAGGGACAGGGGGGGTGACGAGACGCAAACGAGGAGCGATTCAGTTTTTTTTTCGAAATCGTTCGCGAACGATGAAAAGGAATGAAACGGAACGAACTCCCCAGGCCCCGCGCGTGTCACCTTGCGGCTTGTGAGCGGCACTGTGGGGGCGAGGGGGGAGTGACGTCATGTGAAACGCGACGGAGTAATCTGGCGGCCATCTTACGTAGGGTAATGATACAGAGACACACAAAAGACACAGATACCCCGTGTAGCCTGCAACAGGCTATTGGGGCAAGTGCTGTTAGCGAGCAGCAGCAGCACCTATGAAGGCCGGAACGGTGCTCGATGGGGTGGGTGGCCAGCAACACGCCCGGCCGTCTTTGTCTCCCCCAGTAGCGGTGTTTACTGCACACGGCTAGACCCGGGACTCATCGAGTCGACCTAGGGGAGGAGGCCCAGAACCGGTTCGAACAATCGTCACCTGGTGTTGGTGCCCTTGAGCGGGAATCGAACTCGGGTGGCCATGGGTTTGTAGAGCAGCGTGGCGCGCTAACCGCTGCACCACCGCTCCCCCACTCCCACCACGCACGTGGCCCGACTAACATTCAATGGAGTCGTCCCTTACAAAGATGGCCGTCAACCGCGCGCATTTCCGTCTCGGCCCGGGGCGTTGACTGCGGTCCTCGACTTACGAACTGAGTGACGTCATCCTCGCGCCCCTCCCCCAACGGGGAGCGTTCGTAAGTCGAATTATTCGTATCTCGGAACTCAAAATGTAATTGGAAATGCGGTCAGTGTTGTAAAATTTTGTTATGGTTTAAAAAGGGGGGGGGGGGGGGGGGGGGGCTATTGTTGAACTCATTAATAAGAATAAATATTGTACATTTGCATGTAATATTGTAATAAATACTGTAAATAAAACTTAAAATAAAATAACATGAAAATAAATTGTTTTTCACTTACCTCAAGTCCTGATGCCGGCTTGTTTGTCGGAAGGGGGGGGGGGGTGCAACAGGTGAGACGCTGGGACTCATCACGCCTCCTCGTAGAAGATCGCTCCGCCAAACAAAATAGTTCGCGAGTCGGATGGTTACCAAAAAAAAACACCTTTAGGCGGTTCTCGTTCGTAAGTACGGGCGTTCGTAAGTCAAACGTTCGTAAGTCAAACGTTCGTAAGTACGGGCGTTCGTAAGTACGGGCGTTCGTAAGTCAAACGTTCGTAAGTACGGGCGTTCGTGAGTCAAACGTTCGTAAGTACGGGCGTTCGTAAGTCAAACGTTCGTAAGTACGGGCGTTCGTAAGTCAGACGTTCGTAAGTACGGGCGTTCGTAAGTCAAACGTTCGTAAGTACGGGCGTTCGTAAGTACGGGCGTTCGTAAGTCAGACGTTCGTAAGTACGGGCGTTCGTAAGTCAAACGTTCGTAAGTACGGGCGTTCGTAAGTCAAACGTTCGTAAGTACGGGCGTTCGTAAGTCAGACGTTCGTAAGTCAAACGTTCGTAAGTCGAACGTTCGCATCTCGTGGACTGCTTGTATACAGAATCAACATCTGGCTGTCGCCTGATGATGCTACTTGTAATTACTGGCGAAACGTCGTACTCAGATTGTAAATGTTATAGTGGGTTTACTCTCCAACACACAACCGGTTAGTGCTGTTCTAGTCACGAATTGGCCACGTTCTGTTTACGTGGCACGAACCCTTACTGGTTGGCTGTGTCGGGTGGTGGCGGGTTTAACGACACATTTATATATTCACGCGATCTAACCCAAAACTCCCTCAATTATGGATGATATTGGTCGCCAAAGCCTCCTACTATGTGTTACACTGACTAACATCTCTATCACCATCGTTGCCATCATCTGCTCTTGGGCATCATCACCATCATCGATAACATCATCAGTACCATCAATACCAACATCACCATCGATACCATCAATACCAACATCACCATCGATAACATCAATACCAACATCACCTTCACCATCGATACCATCACCAGTAATATCAATAACAACATCACTATCATTACCATCATCGATACCATCACCAGTACCATCAATACCAGCATCATCGATACCATCACCAGTGCCATCAATACCAACATCACTATCATCACCATCGTCATCGATACCATCACCAGTACCATCATGAGCATCACGATGCCATCACCAAGCATCATCAATACTAACATCACTCTCACCACCACCATCACCACCACCATCACCACCGTGACGATGTCTCTGTCGTGCGTCCGCAGTGCCCGACCCACGCCAGGAGGACCCCCACGGCGTGAGGACCCCCACGCCAGGAGGACCCCCGCGCCAGGAGGACCCCCGCGCCAGAAGGACCCCCGCGCCAGGAGGACCCCCACGGCGTGAAGACCCCCGCGGCAGGAGGACCCCCACGCCAGGAGGACCCCCACGCCAGGAGGACCCCCACGCCAGGAGGACCCCCACGCCAGGAGGACCCCCACGCCAGGAGGACCCCCACGGCAGGAGGACCCCCGCGGCAGGAGGACCCCCACGGCGTGAGGACCCCCACGCTGCCCGCCGCTACCGCATCCAGTTCCGTGTACGAGCTCACGCACGCGCACGCACTCTTAAACACTATGATGTTGATTCTAAACGTGGAGGAGTGGAGGGGGGGGAACCGGGAGGAAAATCCACGTGTCCGCAGGGAGAGAGAGAGAGACACGCAAACTCCAAATATACAGCACCAGGTGTCAGGGTCGTGATTGAACCCACGACCTCCTGTGTACCAGGCGAGGTAGTTAACATCTCACCACGGAGAGAGAGACACGCAAACTCCAAATATACAGCAGCAGGTGTCAGGGTCGGGATCGAACCCACAACCTCCTGTGTACCAGGCGAGGTAGTTAACATCTCACCACGGAGAGAGAGACACGCAAACTGCAAATATACAGCACCAGGTGTCAGGGTCAGGATCGAACCCATGACCTCCTGTATACCAGGCGAGGTAGTTAACATCTCACCACGGAGAGAGAGAGACACGCAAACTCCAAATATACAGCAGCACCAGGTGTCAGGGTCGGGATCGAACCCACGACCTCCTGTGTACCAGGCGAGGTAGTTAACATCTCCTCGCGACCGCGACACGGTGGCCACTGGCCTTTGTGTGATCACGATGATGATGATGATGGTGACGGTGGTGGTGATGGTGGTGTCGGAAGGTAATTCCGTTGGTATCGATGGTATTGGGGATGACATTGATGAGGAATCACGCTGACAGTGACGGTATTGATAATGACGGCACAACTGATGACGATATCATCATCACCGCACCTTTCGATGAGCACGGTTGTGCACGTACGGTGCGACACAAGTTCAACATACATACGTCGACACGCACACACACGTGCTTATTATGGTATCCGCACCCCTCCCATCACCATCTTGTGTACATGCTGAGCTCCTGCGTGTCGCAGCACGTGGGGACATGAAGGATGATGATGGTGGTGATATACACCGATTCGTAGCAAGTGGGAGGTAATTAATGATGATAATGATGATGTTGTTGCACTCATTCATAGCAGGTGGGTAGATAGGTAGGTGATGAGAGATGATGGTACGCACCCGTTCATACGGACCCTAAGCAGATGGCCCTTTGTTTATTTATAAAACAACACGTCGTATGATCAATGCAGTAAACAGGGACAGACGTTTCAAGTCACCCATAAGACGAATTATAATAACTTCGTCTTATAGAGAAACTGGCGGTAAGTACCCGGCGTTGCCCGGGCGAAAATGAAAGACACACAACAACCGCCATTCGCCACTAAGTGGCGGTGACGTCACCACGACGCTTGTACCAGGCCATGTGCACCTTGAGGCCACGTGACGTGTCGAACGCCCGCTGGCAGGAGGTCACGGGGCAGACCCAGGTGCCACGGGTCGACTGACTGAGATGACTGGCTGATGCACCACCTGTGCCCCCTACTGTGCCAACCTGCTGTGCTTTAGCCACCCGGCGCTCCGCTCGTTGTTGTGAGCGTCGCTCCTCCGCCCTCCGTTGTTGTTGGAGGGCGACTACCTCCAACTGCCCAGTAGCGTCCTTCACGAGCCTCCTCCACAGAGGCCGATCTTGACACCGCTGGTACCGGTCATCGCCAAATCCACTTAGCTCCAGTCCTCCTGTACCACATCACTCCATCTCTTCTCTAGCCCGTGCCGCGCCCGTTTAGTCCCCTCGATCCGGCCGAACAAAAGCTGTTTCGGCATGCGGTGGCTGGGCATGCGGGCTACATGACCCAGCCAATGCAGCCTTGCCTGCCAGAGGAGTTCACCGATGGGACCTTGCCCAGATCTTTCAAAGATTTGTGAGCTCCTCACACAATCCAGCCTGGTTAAACCCAGGATGGATCGTAGACAGGCTAGCCTAAATGTTTCTAACCGGCGAAGATGTTCCATTAGATGCTTACCTGAAACCGGATCCCCACCACCATCCATCCCAGAAGAATTCCCTCATCAAGACTCTGCACCATAGAGCCCAATGCATATCCGACCAGGAACACATAGCCAGTGAACTCAAGCACGTACACCAAGCTCTTAAGGCTAATGGTTACTCCGACTACACAATCCGCAAAGCTATCACTCCAACCATGAAGAAGGACCCTCTTGAGGAGCCATTCAAAACCATCACTTTACCCTACATTGCGGGGATCACAAAAAATATCTCCAAAATCTTGAATAAACACAAGATCCAGGTCCGATTCAACACATTGCATAAAATCCGTGATCTGGTTCCGTCTGTAAAAGATGTGATTCCGGACATACAGTACCCTGGCGTCTACAAACTAAGTTGCCTCTGTGGTAGTAGTCACATTGGAGAAACCAAACGCCATGTCTCGGACCGCATTCGTGAACACAAAGCAGACCTTAAACACGGTAGGACCAACACCTCGGCCGTGGCAGATCATTGTTATAATTCAGTAGGCTCACATGCCATTGACTTTTCCAAGACAGAGGTTCTTTGTGTAGTGGCCTTATTGACGACTTAGACTTGTTCTTTGGAGGCAACACGTATTTATTACAGACACTTCACTCTACAGTGGCTAATCTGATACTTGAAGAGGTAACGGCCTCTTGACCCGTACTCTATAGAGGGAACATTTCCCGAGCCTTAGCCCATGCTAGCTCCCTGGTTCCCTCTATCCTGGTCCTCTCTCAGGAGGCTGTCTGACCTGGCCCAGCTTCGGCGCAGGTCCCGATCACCAGCCACA